GCTCTTACTTTGCTTGGCTGCAGCAAAAGGATGGTCTTTGAAGCAAATGGATGTTTCTAATGCTTTTTTACATGGGGAGTTGGATGAAGAGATATATATGCGGATTCCTCAGGGTTATACTCCTCCTCTGGGTACAACACTTCCTCCTAATGCTGTTTGTCGATTGCGTAAATCTCTCTATGGACTCAAGCAGGCTTCACGTCAGTGGTATAAGCGGTTTTCTTCCGTTTTACTTGGAGCTAACTTCATTCAGTCACCAGCTGACAATACTCTTTTTGTCAAAGCAACCACAACATCTTTTCTTGCTGTTCTGGTGTATGTGGACGACATCTTGATTGCGAGTAATAATGAGGTTGATTTGCTTGCTCTCCAGAATCTGTTGCGTTCTGAGTTTAAGATCAAAGATCTTGGTGATGCTAGGTTCTTTCTTGGTCTTGAAATAGCACGTTCTGCTAAGGGTATAGCTGTTTGCCAGAGGAAGTATACCTTGAACCTGCTCGAAGATTCTGGTCTACTTGGATGTAAGCCTAGTACTATACCAATGGATCCTTCTCTGCACTTATCTAAGGATTTGGGAACTTTATTACCCAATCCTACAGAGTACCGTGAGCTCATTGGACGTCTTTTGTATTTGACTATCACTCGGATGGATATCACTTTTGCGGTTCATCAGTTAAGTCAATTCTTATCAGCTCCAACGGATGTTCATTTGCAGGCAGCTCATAAGGTTCTGCGTTACTTGAAAGGGAATCCAGCCTTAGGTCTTTTCTATCCTGCTGATACAGAGTTGTGTCTCAATGCGTTTGCTGATGCGGATTGGGCTACTTGTAAGGATACCAGGCGTTCTGTTACTGGTTTTTGTGTCTTCTTGGGTACTTCTTTGATCTCTTGGAAGTCCAAGAAACAATCTGTTGTGAGTAGAAGCAGTACAGAAGCGGAGTATAGAAGCTTGGCTCTAGCGACTTGTGAGTTGATATGGCTGCAACAGTTGCTCAAAGATCTTCATGTCTCTGTCACGTCTGTTGCGAAGCTTTTCTGTGATAACAAGTCAGCGATTCATATTGCCATGAATCCTGTCTTTCATGAACGCACCAAACATATAGACATCGATTGTCACACGGTGAGAGATCAGCTGAAGGCAGGACGCTTACGAACACTTCATGTTTCTACTGGTAACCAACTTGCAGACATTTTGACAAAGTCTCTGCATCCAGGTCCTTTTCATTCTCTTCTAAGCCGGGTTTCCATGTCAAGTCTTTATCTTCAACCAGACACAGAAGCTAAAGACTTGAGGGGGGCGTCTTAGATTAGTTGGTTAAGTACTGGTTAAATGTTGGTTAGGTACTAGTTCGGTTTACTTGTAAATACCGGGTACCTATATATATGTGTAAATGTATCTGTACAGTTACAATTAATGTGAATAACAAACTTTTACATTCAGCTCAAACTCTCTCTCTCGAAGCTCTCATTCATCATCTTCTTCTCTTCGATCGTTTGTTNAGATTAGTTGGTTAAGTACTGGTTAAATGTTGGTTAGGTACTAGTTCGGTTTACTTGTAAATACCGGGTACCTATATATATGTGTAAATGTATCTGTACAGTTACAATTAATGTGAATAACAAACTTTTACATTCAGCTCAAACTCTCTCTCTCGAAGCTCTCATTCATCATCTTCTTCTCTTCGATCGTTTGTTAATACTAGACGCTGAGTTATCACCTTTTGGGTGGCTTTAAAGTACCTGCTTTGAACGTGTCTGACAAGTTAATTTTTTTTTTGCTGCTTTTATCTGAGATTCTAACCGGATCAGATTATGGAACACATGCTGGGATCGAGCTATGTGTCTGCAAAGATTCTTGCAACAGAGTACAAATGTAGGTGCAATGCTTGCAGCACGATATGGTACGATATGGTATCAGGGATCTTTATAACAACAGTGTTGGTATTCTTGAACGATTCTGAAAAAGTTGCTTCACGTTTTTGAACATCCCTTGCGTTTTTATAATGACTGTATAAGGAAGCTATTCAAAGCTGATTAATTGCAGCTAGACTAATCTCTGCTTTGTTTCAGCTCTGTTTTTCCTTCTTTAAACATGATTTTCTTTTCATGTCCGTCCAAATTTTTTTTCATTTATAGCTTATAAGTGTAACATATATCTTATAAACAGAGGACGATGAGAATCCTAAAGAATAATAATTACAATTGACTATCACCAGGACACAAATATGATTTTATTTGACTGTAGATTTCTCGCATTTTTGATAGTCATCATGACATATTCTGATATGCGCAGGATAAAAGACAAGTTTACTGTTTTTTTTTTTCCTTTTGCTTAAACAGACAAGTTACCGAGATGGTCAAAACAAAAATTATATGTTAATCACCACGAAGAATCAAACGTAAAATCATCTGTTTCAGATTCTGCAAATATTATATAATATCAGCTCATAGCATATAATATTATTATAAGGCAGTTTTGAAAAATGAATTATTATAAATCTTAGACAACGAAACTTCTTTTTTTACAGTTAGAGAAGGAAGATGAAACGTGGCACACCCGTTACAAACTTATAAATGACACTGAAAAAATAGATTTTGTTGTGGGATCTACATTCACATGATAGCAATAGACACATTCTATATTTAATTTGATGTACACGATTTACATAGATAATTACTATAGATTACAATAACATGACATTCTTTGCAATTGAAAAAGAGTTAGAGATCTCTAAAAACGTCTTAAAAAAGTTGTTATCAGATTTAAACAGGTCCACACAAACCAATTTGATTAAAGCTTATATCATACAAATGAAAACACTTTGTACCAGATTTATTAAAATAAACCAACCAGCACCAACAAAAAAAAGAAGAAAAAAACATCTGACTACCTTAATTTATCACGTTAAAAACAATCCAATTTTCTTTACCATGTTCTATCGAATCAAACCGACATTATGACCACATATAAATTAGTTAACTTAATTTGGTACCATAAGATTACCAAAAAAAATTCAATATAATATAAATTAATCAATTTGGTACCAAGATTTTACTTCAACAAATCGATATACATTATTTGAAGTTTCAAATGAAAAATCAAAGATAATTAAAATACAAAAATTTACATTTTATTCAATGAGCCATGTTTTAGAAAACAAAGTTATTTCCAAAATATATCAATTGGAAGGTAAAAGTGAAATTCTCCCTATTTTTATTAATTAGTTATTGTAAATTTCAGAAAATAATTATATCTGTGAAATATGAGAAATTAATCACAAAAATCAAGACATTTAGAGTTGAATTTGATATATTTTAATATGTATGAAAACTCTAAAACATGCATTTCTTTGAAACAAAGAATACTAAAATAAGAGGAAAATGTCTATGAATAGCTAGAAAAAAAAACTATTTTCTTCATCATTATTGTGTAAGTTGTGCCATTTTCTTTGGTTTTATGATACGTAAATATATTTTATGCTAGGTCTCCCAAAGACTAAACTTTCCATTAATTGAACAAAATTAAACAGGAAATAAACCATTTAGTTCAAACATATAAAGACTATAATTACTAAAAAAATAAAATAGCAATATTTTCATGGTTGAAAAAACATAGAAATACACTTTTTAAAAATATAAATTCAAAATACTTATTCACGCGAAGCGCGGAAAAAGACTCTAGTATATATAACTACAAACATTAACCAAAACAAAGACACCACATATTTTCAAATATATGTATATGCACATACCTCAAAGAAATAAATTTTATGGCTTTATTTTCTCTCTTGCTTTGTTGCCCAGAGCTCTTTTTATAATTGGAACTGAGTCTTGTAGATTCTCAATATATGTATATAGCTGCAGTTTTTTGCTTTCCCTTATTTTCTTTTAAAATAATAATAATTCGAATATGTTTTTACCATGGTTGTTATTGTAACTTTTAGTCATTCCTCATGCTCATTGACTCAATATTAGTCAGTTATTAAGAAAAACTAAACCGGAAAGAAATTAAAATTATGACATTTATGTTTATTTAATCCCATTAGTAAGAAAAAAAAATGCTATTTAGTTGTTGACTTGTTGTGCCTTTAGCACTTCACTGACTCATTAATTAGATGATAAATGTAAATGGAGTGAGATCGATTCGTCAGTAATCACCAACATATCAACAATCTTACTTTAAATACAAAAATAGAATAAAATTCTCATGACTACTCTTCCATGGTTGTTACTAGTTAGTTGTTGTAACTTTAGTCATTCCTCATGCTCATTGACTCAATATTAGTCAGTTATTAATCAAAAGTAAACAGGAAAGAAATTAAAATTATGACATTTATGTTTATTTAATCCATTAGTAAGAAAAAAATCTTATGTGGTTGTTGCTACTTAGTTATTGTGCTTTTTGTCCTTCACTGACTCATTAATTAGATGATAAATGTAAATGGAGTGAGATTGTTTTGTCAGTAATCACCAACACACCCACAATCTTACTTTAAATAGAAAAGTAGAATAAAAATCTCATAACTACTCTTCCATGGTTGTTACTAGTAAAAATCTCATAAAAATCTTACTTTAGTTGTTGTAACTTTAGTCATTCCTCATGGTCATTGACTCAATATTAATAATCTTACTTTAATTACAAAAATAGTATACAAATCGGTTGAGCAGTCTCTCTTTCTTCTCAACATTTCAATTAGTCTCTTTGATACTTTTTTATCTTTCACCATCTAAAGATATATATTTGAAGAATGTTCCAGAAAACTTATGTAATCCAATGATATAGAACATAAAATATAACTGAAAAAATCATTAAAAAATTGACTCTTCACTAGAAATAATATTTTGTAAACTTGATGTGCTTTTACTAAACGCCTATAAATACACAAAGATGCATGCATATGGACTCATAACTTCATTCATCACCTTTACTATTCTTTCGATCTCTCTCTCACTTCTTTCATCTTCCCTCTAAAATTTCTCACGAGAAAAACACCAAGACGATGGAGAAGTTCGTGTTGAAGAGCTCCGACGATGTATCCTTTGAAGTGGAAGAAGCGGTGGTACGTCAGTGTAAGGTTTTGTTGCCTATGGTTGAAGATTGCGCCGGTCGTGTATGCCCGATCATGAACGTCACAGGCAAAATCCTCGAGAAGGTGGTTGAATACTGCAAGAAACACGTCGTTGTCGTCGACGGTGGCGATTCTTCTTCCTCCTCCTCCGATGATGATTATGTTCTCAAGAAGTGGGACGCTGAGTTCATAACGAAGATGGATCTTTCTACGGTTTATGATCTCATCACGGCTGCGAACTATATGGACATCAAAGGTCTTCTTGATCTCACGTGCCAGAGAGTCGCTGATGAGATCGCAGCATGCAAAGACCACAAGGAGATTCGCGAAAAGTTCGGCATCGAGAGTGACTTTACAGCAGAGGAGGAAGCAGATCTTCTCAAGGAGAACGCGTGGGTGTTAGGTCCCAAAGACTTAAGGAACAAGTTACCATAATTTTCTTTTCATTTTCTCATTTAACTCTCAACTCATGCTTAAATACAAAACAAAAGAAATAACTAACTAGTACTACGTGAAACATGAAACGTGGATAAGAAGCCACACGTCCTCAACTTAAGGAAACATAATCCCACTAAATAAAAAGCAATATTGAAACCAATAGCCACGTTCACTTCTTGCTCAAATGGTATCTCATCAGTGGGCTTTTGAGTGAACGAGAGGGTTAATCTAAAAACCCTAGTTAACCTTTCTTTTCGAATCTTTAGATCTTTATGTGATGAACATTGCTTTCTTGTTTTGGTTTTTGTGAATATTAACCGTATGATGTTTAAATAAGTCTTTCGCTTGTAAACCGTATGATGTTTACATAAGTCTTTCGTATGATGTTTACTTAAAGTCTTTCGTATTTTTGTGAATATGAACCGTATGATGTTTACATAAGTCTTTCGTATTTGAGTTTCAAATTCTCAGACTATAGTAGAGAATCTTTACAACGATACCATGAGAACAAGAGAGTTGTATTCACTAAACATGACTCGTCTTTTGTGTGCTGGACAAGAAAACCAATTCTTGATTCTTAAACAAGATTTTAAAACAGAGGATGATGATAAACTGCATATATTTTTTAAGAAGAAGTTTTGTACATGTAATAAGCCTTGCGTTTTAAGAAATCTTCTGTTAATGATCGTTCTCTACTCGTTCTGAGTCTGACACTTAAAGTACTTTTATTCGTTGGCTTTCCTATGCACAAACTCAAAACTTGTATAACTGCATCAGAACCAAAGTTGTTTTTACTAAAATATGTATCTTTAGAGAACATATTCCTTAATCTGCACAACATAAAAGACAAGAAATTGGCATTCAAAAACTCTATAAATGATTAAACTGTGTAAACATGAAGAAGAAAGAAAACTATACGAGTCAATCTTGTGTCAATGATCATGCCCTCTACTCATTCTTGCTAATTCTGATACCAAATGCTCTCCCTCTCTTGGCTCTTGTACATGCAAAATGTACTTTATAGTCTCAAGATCTTATCAAATTTAGCTGTTCTATGCTACTTAAAACCAGAGAATGTTGCCAGATGACGACCTTTTATTTAGATATATATTGTTTTAATGGGTTTGGCTCTTGATCAAGTCATTTGTCTTCGTTTTGTTCACACTACCAGAAACACACGTATACTTAGTTTGAGAATCAGACTAAAACATCAGCATTATCATCACGAGTTTGAGATTAAAACATCATCATTAACATTACTGAAAGAAACCAAGAAAGACTGTACACAAACATAGTTTATTTAGAAAAGGATGGTATCATAAGTCTTATTATAGATAGCATTTGCAGAGACAGACTGAAAACTCTTATGGCATTTTACTCGGATTTTCACTTCTCTTCCTCTTCCTCATGTGTACTCTCCGGTGAAAATGTAGATGCACTGCTCTTTTAAATATTTTGCCGCAAATTTCACATTTCCATTCTTCCAACGCCATCGCCGTCTCTTCACGGTTAATGTTGTTTTCTCCGATGGTGGCACCGTCGAGGAGGGAAGTATGAGTGGAGGATGATGAATATGTCTTCTTGTGCGGTGAAGACATCTTCGCAGTGTCTGCTTTTTGCTTAATATCAACAAAGATTCATTAATAAAATTCTTTAAAAATGAGATAGAATATAGAAAATGAAATATGATTTTAGAAGAAATTAAACCGAAGCAAATTATAAGAAGAATATGAAGTCACCATAGAGATTGAGGACATGAAAAGAAGAAGAAAATATGTAACTACAAGACATTAGCTGAGAACAAAGAGACCAAATATTTGCATATGCATGCATGCCCTAATATGCACATACCTCAAAGAAAAAAAATTGTATGGCTTTGTTTTTTGTTTCTCTTGCTTTGTTTGCTTTGCTCTTTTGATAATGAGTACTGAGTCTTGTAGATTCTCAATATATATATATATATTATCTGCAGTTTATTTACTTTCCCTAATTTTCTTTTTTCTTAAGAAAATAATAATAATTCTTATATGTTTCTTGAATGGTTGTTGCTAGTTAGTTGTTGTAGTTTTTAGTCCCTTATGGTCATTGACTCATTGGTCAGCTATTAATCAAACTAAACCGGAAAGAAATTAATATTATGAAATTTATTTTATCCCATCAATAAAATGAATTTCTTCCATTGGTTGTTGCTAGCTAGTTATTGTAGTTAGCTCAGTGGTCAGCTATCAGTAAATAATAAACCGGAGATAAAATTAAATACCCAAATAGAATTGAAAAGAGGATAAACTTGTTCATCTACACCAAGGGCCTATGGAAGGTTGCTACTAAGACTTGATAGTCTCAAGATCTTATCAAATTTAACTGTTCTATGCGACTTAAAACCAGACAATGACGCCAGATATGTAGTGGCCTTTGATATGGATATCATCTTAAGGGTTTTGGCTCTTGATCTGCAAGCCATTTGTCTTTAGAGATAAGGTCTTTGTTTCACATCATAGAACCGCATGTTTACTTAGTTTGACTAAACATCATTATCCTCATCAAGAGTTTGAGATTAACACATCATCATCACTAAATGTGTACTATCTACCAAAGCATGAGTAATATGGCAATTAGCAAAGTTATTTGTTTCTGAGCTTGAATTACTTGTCACACAATAGTTTTATATGTATTCTCATCATTTGATATGATCAATAATATGAACAACATCATCATTGAAAACAGAAATTATCAAATGGAAACATATTTTATTGAAAGAGACCAAGAAAGACGGTAATCGTCTTCATGGAAGGGTGTGTCGTCTCCGGTGACGATTTAGATTCTCTTCTCTTTTAAATATTTTGCCGCACGTTTCACATATATATCTGTCCTTCTCTAATATCATTAGTTGTTACTAGTTAGTTGTTGTACCTTTAGTCATTCCTCATGTTCATTGACTCAATATTAATCAAAAGTAAACAGGAAAGAAATTAAAATTATGACATTTATGTTTATTTAATCCCATTAGTAAGAAAAAAAAATCTTATATGGTTGTTGCTACTTAGTTGTTGTAGCTTTTAGCCCTAAAATGACTCATTAGTTAGGTGATAAATGTAAATGGAGTGAGATTGATTTGTCAGTAATCACCAACACATCAACAATCTCACCTTAAATACAAAAATAGAATAAAACTCTCATTACTACACTTCCATGGTTGTTGCTAGTTAGTTGTTNCTTTTAGCCCTAAAATGACTCATTAGTTAGGTGATAAATGTAAATGGAGTGAGATTGATTTGTCAGTAATCACCAACACATCAACAATCTCACCTTAAATACAAAAATAGAATAAAACTCTCATTACTACACTTCCATGGTTGTTGCTAGTTAGTTGTTATAACTTTAGTCATTCCTCATGCTCATTGACTCAATATTAGTCAGTTATTAATCAAAAGTAAACAAGAGAAAAATTAAATTTATGATGTTTATGTATTTAATCCCATTAGTAAGAAAAAAAATCGTATGTGGTTGTTGCTACTTAGTTGTTGTGCTTTTAGCCCTTCACTGACTCATTAATCAGATGATAAATGTAATAAGTGAGATTGATTTTTCAGTAATCACCAACACATCAACAATCTTACTTTAAATAGAAAAGTAGAATAATAATCAGTTGAGCAGTCTCTCTTTCTTCTCAACATTTCAATTAGTCTCTTTGATACTTTTCTTTATCTTTCACCATCTAAAGATATTTATTTGAAGAATGTTCCAGACAACTTATGTAATCCAATGATATAAAACATAAAATATAATTGAAAAAATCATTGAAAAATTGACTCTTCACTAGAAATAATATTTTGTAAACTTGGTGTGCATTTTTTTTAACTAAACGCCTATAAATACACAAAGATGCATGCATATGGGCTCATAACTTCATTCACCACCTTTACTATTCTTTCGCTCTCTCTCTCTCAGTTCTTTCATCTTTCGCTCTGAAACTTCTCACGAGAAAATCACCAAGACGATGGAGAAGTTCGTGTTGAAGAGCTCCGACGATGTATCCTTTGAAGTGGAAGAAGCGGTGGTACGTCAGTGTAAGATGTTGTTTCCTATGGTTCAAGATTGCGCCGGTCGTGTATGCCCGATCAAGAACGTCACAGGCGAAATCCTCGAGAAGGTGGTCGAATACTGCAAGAAACACGTCGTTGTCGTCCACGGTGGCGATTCTTCATCATCATCCAACTCCTCCTCCTCCTCCGGTGATGATCTCAAGAAGTGGGACGCTGAGTTCATCTCGAAGATGGATCTTTCTACGGTTTTGGGTGTCATCAAGGCTGCGGACTACTTGAACATCAAAGGTCTTTTTGATCTCACTGGTCAGAGAGTCGCTGATGAGATCCGAGCATGCAAAGGCCCCCGAAGAGATTCACAGGGAGAACGCGTGGGCTTTTGACGAAGGCCCCTAGCTAATCTTTCTTTAGATCTCTATGTGATGAACCGTATGATGTTTAAATAAGTCCTTCGTATTTGAAGCAAGTTTATATATGTGATGAACCGTATGATGTTTAAATAAGTCAACCGTATGATGTTTAAATAAGTCTTTCTTTTGATTTTTGTGAATATGAACCGTATGATGTTTAAATAAGTCTTTCGTATTTGAAGCAAGTTTACATAAGTCTTTCGTTTGTAAACCGTATGATGTTTACATAAGTCTTTCGTATTGTTGTGAATATGAACCGTATGATGTTTACATAAGTCTTTCGTATGATGTTTACATAAATTAATATGAACCGTATGATGTTTACATAAGTCTTTCGTATTTGAGTTTCAAATTCTCAGACTATAGTAGAGAATCTTTACAACGATACCATGAGAACAAGAGAGTTGTGTTCACTAAACATGACTCGTCTTTTGTGTGCTGGACAAGAAAACCAATTCTTGTTTCTTAAACATGATTTTAAAACAGAGGATGATGATAAACTGCATATATTTTTTTAGAAGAAGTTTTTTACAAGTGAAGCCTTGTTTTTTAAGAAATCTTCTGTCAGTGATCGTTCTCTACTCATTCTGAGTCTGACACCAAGCACTCTATCGATTTAAAGTACTTTTATTCGTTGGCTTTCCTATGCACAAACTCAAAACTTGTATAGCTGCAACAGAACCAAAGTTGGTTTTACTAACATAATGTAACTCTTATTTTGGTGCTTGATAAGTTGACTCTTTAGAGAACATATTCCTCAATCTGCAGTTCTGCATAAGTTAGTTGTTGTAGTTTTTAGTCCCTTATGGTCATTGACTCATTGGTCAGCTATTAATCAAAACTAAATCGGAAAGAAATTAAAATTATGAAATTTATTTTATTCCATCAATAAAATGAAATTCTTCCATTGGTTGTTCCTAACTAGTTGTTGTAGTTTCTGCCCCTTCATTAACTCACTGGTCAGCTATTAGTAAATAATAAATAAACCGGTGATAAATTTAAATACCCAAATAAAATTGAAAAGAGGATAAACTTGTTCATCTACACCAAGAGCCTATGGAAGGTTGCTACTAAGACTTTATAGTCTCAAGATCTTATCGAATTTAGCTGTTCTATGCTACTTAAAACCAGAGAATGTTGCCAGATGACGACCTTTTATTTAGATATATTGTTTTAATGGGTTTGGCTCTTGATCAAGTCATTTGTCTTCGGTGATAAGCTCATCGTTTTGTTCACACTACTAAAAACACACGTGTACTTAGTTTGAGAATCAGACTAAAACATCAACATCATCATCACGAGTTTGAGATTAAAACATCATCATTAACATTACTGAAAGAAACCAAGAAAGACTGTACACAAACATAGTTTATTTAGAAAAGGATGGTATCATAAGTCTTATTATAGATAGCATTTGCAGAGACAGACTGAAAACTCTTATGGCATTTTACTCGGATTTTCACTTCTCTTCCTCTTCCTCATGTGTGATAGTCTCCAGTGAACATGTAGATGCACTGCTCTTTTAAATATTTTGCCGCAAATTGCACATTTCCATTCTTCCAACGTCATCGCCGTCTCTTCACGGTTAATGTTGTTTTCTCCGATGGTGGCACCGTCGAGGAGGGAAGTCTGAGTGGAGGATGATGAATTTGTCTTCTTGTGCGCTGAAGACATATTCGCAGTGTCTGCTTTTTGCTTAATATCAACAAAGATTCATTAATAAAATTCTTTAAAAATGAGATAGAATATAGAAAATGAAATATGATTTTAGAAGAATATGAAGTCACCATAGAGATTGAGGACATGAAAAGAAGAAGAAAAAATATAATTACAAGACATTAGCCGAGAACAAAGAGACCAAATATTTGCAAATGCATGCAAGCCCTAATTAATATGCACATACCTCAAAGAAAAAAAATTGTATGGCTTTGTTTTTTTTTTCTCTTGCTTTGTTTGCTTTGCTCTTTTAATAATGAGTACTGAGTCTTGTAGATTCTCAATATATATATTATCTGCAGTTTATTTACTTTCCCTAATTTTCCTTTTTATTTAAGAAAATAATAATAATTCTTATACGTTTCTTGAATGGTTGTTGCTAGTTAGTTGTTGTAGTTTTTAGTCCCTTATGGTCATTGACTCATTGGTCAGCTATTAATCGAAACTAAACCGGAAAGAAATTTATATGATGAAATTTATTTTATCCCATCAATAAAATGAATTTCTTCCATTGGTTGTTGCTAGCTAGTTATTGTAGTTAGCTCAGTGGTCAGCTATCAGTAAATAATAAACCGGAGATAAAATTAAATATCCAAATAGAATTGAAAAGATGATAAACTTGTTCATCTACGCCAAGGGCCTATGGAAGGTTGCTACTAAGACTTGATAGTCTCAAGATCTTTTTAGCTGTTCTATGCGACTTAAAACCAGACAATGACGCCAGATATATAGTGGCCTTTGATATGGATATCATCTTAAGGGTTTTGGCTCTTGATCTGCAAACCATTTGTCTTTAGAGATAAGGTCTTTGTTTCACATCATAGAACCGCACGTTTACTTAGTTTGACTAAACATCATTATCCTCATCAAGAGTTTGAGATTAACACATCATCATCACTAAATGTGTACTATCTACCAAAGCATGAGTAATATGGCAATTAGCAAAGTTATTTGTTTCTGAGCTTGAATTACTTGTCACAAAATAGTTTTATATGTATTCTCATCATTTGATATGACCAATAATATGAACAACATCATCATTGAAAACAGAAATTATCAAATGGAAACATATTTTATTGAAAGAGACCAAGAAAGACGGTAATCGTCTTCATGGAAGGATGTCGTCTCCGGTGACGATTTAGATTCTCTTCTCTTTTAAATATTTTGCCGCACGTTTCACATATGTATCTATCCTTCTCTAATATCATTAGTTTTTACTAGTTAGTTGTTGTACCTTTAGTCATTTCTCATGTTCATTGACTCAATATTAATCAAAAGTAAACTGGAAAGAAATTAAAATTATGACATTTATGTTTATTTAATCCCATTAGTAAGAAAAAAATCTTATATGGTTGTTGCTACTTAGTTGTTGTAGCTTTTAGCCCTAAAATGACTCATTAGTTAGGTGATAAATGTAAATGGAGTGAGATTGATTTGTCAGTAATCACCAACACATCAACAATCTCACCTTAGATACAAAAATAGAATAAAACTCTCATTACTACACTTCCATGGTTGTTGCTAATTAGTTGTTATAACTTTAGTCATTCCTCATGCTCATTGACTCAATATTAGTTGACTCAATATTAGTCAGTTATTAATCAAAAGTAAACAGGAAAGAAATTAAAATTATGACATTTATGTTTATTTAATCCCATTAGTAAGAAAAAAATCTTATATGGTTGTTGCTACTTAGTTGTTATAACTTTAGTCATTCCTCATGCTCATTGACTCAATATTAGTTGACTCAATATTAGTCAGTTATTAATCAAAAGTAAACAGGAAAGAAATTAAAATTATGACATTTATGTTTATTTAATCCCATTAGTAAGAAAAAAATCTTATATGGTTGTTGCTACTTAGTTGTTGTAGCTTTTAGCCCTAAAATGACTCATTAGTTAGGTGATAAATGTAAATGGAGTGAGATTGATTTGTCAGTAATCACCAACACATCAACAATCTCACCTTAAATACAAAAATAGAATAAAACTCTCATTACTACACTTCCATGGTTGTTGCTAGTTAGTTGTTNCTTTTAGCCCTAAAATGACTCATTAGTTAGGTGATAAATGTAAATGGAGTGAGATTGATTTGTCAGTAATCACCAACACATCAACAATCTCACCTTAAATACAAAAATAGAATAAAACTCTCATTACTACACTTCCATGGTTGTTGCTAGTTAGTTGTTATAACTTTAGTCATTCCTCATGCTCATTGACTCAATATTACTTGACTCAATATTAGTCAATTATTAATCAAAAGTAAACAAGAGAAAAATTAAATTTATGATATTTATGTTTATTTATTCCCATTAGTAAGAAAAAAAATCTTATATGGTTGTTGTTACTTAGTTGTTGTGCTTTTAGCCCTTCACTGACTCATTAATCAGATGATAAATGTAATAAGTGAGATTGATTTTTCAGTAATCACCAACACATCAACAATCTTATATATTAAAACAGAAGTCACGACTTGACTTCATGTGTGATTTTTACAAAAATGGATTATTACTAGAAAATCATGTTACATTAACTTTCTAATAATATTATCATTATTAGATCTTATGAAAAATCATATCTATAATAACAAAGATACGCTTAACAATTTGGTTTTGGTAAATTCCCCCACATTTCCAACTTAGTCACGCAAAATATGTCAATAGATATAATTTTAGGAATCTTCTATTATTTATAAGGAAATATGTCAATAATAGTTAAATGCATCTACAATATATTAACAAAAATCACGTATATGGAATATTTATATACCCTAACAAAATTTACACGTTATATATACTAGATAAATTTATTTCGATGTAAATTTTTAAAATTATATTGTTTTAAAAAAATTGTTTAAAAAATTCTTTTTAGTAAATTCTTTATAATATTAATTTATGAAGCTATAAGTTTTTTTTTTAGCAAAAATTTCTTCAAAGTTTATATTATCTTTGCAAAATTAAAGTATACTAATATTTAATCAAGCTCTATTTATATTACTTTCCTAAAAATGAAATACTAATCTAACAAACAATAAAATATAGAAGAAGAAACAAACACATGTTTGAAAAACATGTATAATATAGAAAATTTGAAACAATCTATTTGATTAAAACACGTATTATATAATATTATTATGTTTGAAAAACATTTACTATATATATCGTAAATATGTGATTACTATAATATATATCAATTTACAAGTGAAAACAAAATGTTTATATAACTAACTATAAACGAAAACAAACACCCGCGCGGTTGCGCGGGTCAAAATCTAGTTTTACTTTAAATAGAAAAGTAGAATAATAATCGGTTGAGCAGTCTCTCTTTCTTCTCAACATTTCAATTAGTCTTTTTGATATTTTTTTATCTTTCACCATCTAAAGATATTTATTTGAAGAATGTTCCAGAAAACTTATGTAATCCAATGATATAAAACATAAAATATAATTGAAACAATCATTTAAAAATTGACTCTTCACTAGAAAAAATATTTTGTAAACTTGATGTGCATTTTTTTTAACTAAACGCCTATAAATACACAAAGATGCATGCATATGGGCTCATAACTTCATTTACCCACCTTTACTATTCTTTCGCTTTCCCTTTCTCTCTCTCACAGTTCTTTCATCCTCCCTCTGAAATTTCTCACGAGAAAATCACCAAGACGATGGAGAAGTTCGTGTTGAAGAGCTCCGACAATGTATCCTTTGAAGTGGAAGAAGCGGTGGTACGTCAGTGTAAGATGTTGTTTCCTATGGTTCAAGATTGCGCCGGTCGTGTATGCCCGATCAAGAACGTCACAGGCGAAATCCTCGAGAAGGTGGTCGAATACTGCAAGAAACACGTCGTTGTCGTCCACGGTGGCGATTCTTCTTCATCATCCAACTCCTCCTCCGGTGATGATCTCAAGAAGTGGGACGCTGAGTTCATCTCGAAGATGGATCTTTCTACGGTTCATGATCTCATCAAGGCTGTGGACTACTTGGACATCAAAGGTCTTTTTGATCTCACTTGTCAGAGATTTGCTGATGAGATCCGAGCATGCAAAGGCCCCGAGGAGATGCGCGAAAAGTTCAACATCGAGAATGACTTTACGGCAGAGGAGGAAGGAGAGATTCGCAGGAAGAACGCGTGGGCTTTTGACGAACGAGAGGGTTAATCTAAAACCCTAGCTAATCTTTCTTTAGATCTTTATGTGATGAACCGTATGATGTTTAAATAAGTCCTTCGTATTTGAAGCAAGTTTATATATGTGATGAACCGTATGATGTTTAAATAAGTCAACCGTATGATGTTTAAATAAGTCTTTCGTATTTGAAGCAAGTTTATTTATATATGTGATGAACCGTATGATGTTTAAATAAGTTTTTCTTTTGATTTTTGTGAATATGAACCGTATGATGTTTAAATGAGTCTTTCGTATTTGAAGCAAGTTTACATAAGTCTTTCGTTTGTAAACCGTATGATGTTTACATAAGTCTTTCGTATTTGAGTTTCAAATTCTCAGACTATAGTAGAGAATCTTTACATCGATAGCATGAGAACATGAGAGATGTGTTCACTAAGCATGACTCGTCTTTTGTGTGCTGGACAAGAAAACCAATTCTTGATTCTTAAACGTGATTTTAAAACAGAGGATGATGCAAATGCTCTCCCTCTCTTTGCTCTTGTACATGCAAAATGTATTGAGAGTTAACAGCAACAACTTATTTCTAATACTACTTACAAAACAAAACAAAACAAATAACAATCTTGAGCCCAAATCTAAACTATATTAACTAACATTTGAGTCTTTGACATATAGTTTGCAACACAAGACCTAAGCAATACCATTGGACAAAGCTCAGACTACTCTTCTTCACTCAAAAAGACCATTTCAGTTTCAGGGTTTAATTAGGTGAATAATTAAGTACCATTATAAAGCCCAAAACCGGCCCATTTACAGATATCAGAAAAGCCCAATAAGAAACTTAACTGTTAGTTGTTGACATAATTACCTGAAAATCTCGAGGGTTTTCCACAAAACAAAAGACAAGAAAAAAAAAAAGTATCAAAGGTGGTCGGAGAGAGAGACAGCTACCCTTTCTTCTTCTTCTTCGTGTCCGTTTAAGAATCGATTGAGATGGCGAGCGAGAACCCTGAACTCGTTGTAGCTCCCGTGGTGGATAACAACGGCGCTGCCGAATCTTCATCCAAAGGAAAAGATGAACAATCATTGGATTCTGAGCTTTTGAAGAAGCTTGAGATTACAGAAGATGCAAAAGAGGAGAATGATGAAGAAGATGAAGGAAACAAAGGTGAATGCTTTATTATTTTTGCCGTCTCTAAGAAAAAAATGGATCCTTTTGATATCTCTAAGTGTTATTTGTTAAGTAGATTGTAGAAAGTTAGGGTTTTGGAATGTTTAGATTACTTTACTGGTTTCTAAGATTTGAGGTTTTATATTTGATTCATTTGTTTGGGAGTGTATGGTTGATTAATAATGTTACTTTTTGTTGTGTGTTGTGGTTTGAAGCTGAGACTTCAACAACTAAGAAGAAGAAAAAGAAGAATAAAAGCAAGTAAGAAGTGTTTTCTATTAGTCTTTTTTTTTTTTAATTTGATTTGCTACTTTTGGTGGGTGTTTTAAATGATTAGTCTCTCTCTTGCTTATGTTTTGCAGGAAGAAGACTCAGCAGACTGATCCACCTACAATCCCTGTGGCTAAGCTTTTCCCATCTGGAGATTTTCCTGAAGGTGAAATCCAACAGTACAAGGATGAGTAAGTTTCATACAACAACTCTATTTACACAGCTTCTAGGGAAATGTTAGATTATATTATGCAATCAGCGTGTAGATTTAGTCTGTTGAATTCTATTGGATTTTCAGACTTTTTCTTGTCAAGACTCTTAATTTATTGCCTGGTGCTGACATTTTAAGATTATGGTCTTGATCTCTGTAATGTAGCAATTTGTGGAGGGCAACATCTGAAGAGAAGAGAGAGTTGGAGCGTTTGCATAAACCAATATACAACTCTGTACGCCAGGCTGCAGAAGTTCATCGCCAGGTTAACCTTTTTTCCCCATTAAATGACCATAAATTATTGTTTTCTTTTTGCTGGCATTTTTTAACATATTTTTTTTCAGGTTAGGAAATATGTGAGAAGCATAGTGAAGCCTGGAATGTTGATGACTGATATATGTGAGACACTGGAGGATACTGTTCGTAAGCTGATATCAGAGAATGGTCTGAAAGCTGGTATTGCTTTCCCTACAGGATGCTCTTTGAATTGGTTGGTTTCTCTTCCTACACAACAATTTTTACTCTTCTATTTGTAGTCATGTTTCTCTAATGGCTTTTTTAACTCTTTAGGGTGGCTGCTCATTGGACACCAAACTCTGGAGACAAGACTGTACTTCAGTATGATGATGTTATGAAACTGGACTTTGGTACACATATTGATGGTATGACGGCAAGTTTTCTTTTCTGTTTTTTTATTTTTCCTATTTGCAAATGTCAGATAAAATAACATGTCTTCTTCTTTTTGTTGCAGGACATATTGTTGACTGTGCTTTTACAGTTGCGTTTAATCCTATGTATGATCCTCTCTTAGCTGCCTCTCGTGAAGCTACTTATACCGGTATCAAGGTACTGATTGATCTTTTGACTGTTCAATCCTATGTATGATTGTTCTTTTAAGTCAATGTTAAGTGATTGATGATTGTTCTTAACCTGTCTGGTTCAGGAAGCTGGAATTGATGTTCGTCTATGCGACATCGGTGCTGCCATTCAAGAGGTGATGGAGAGTTATGAAGTTGAAATCAATGGAAAGGTCTTCCCAGGTACTGAGATCAATGTCAAATCTAATAATCACTGTTACATAATTTAACATGTTTGGTTGTTCTTTTTGGCAGTTAAAAGTATCAGGAATTTGAATGGGCATAGCATCGGTCCATATCAGATACATGCTGGGAAGTCTGTTCCAATTGTTAAAGGAGGCGAGCAGACTAAGATGGAAGAGGGAGAGTTTTATGCCATTGAAACATTCGGATCAACCGGTAAAGACACAAAACTCTGCTCAGATATTATTATTATAAGATCAAAAGGGTCACTGTTGTGTGATTGTATTGCAGGGAAAGGACTTGTGAGAGAAGACTTAGAATGTAGCCACTACATGAAGAACTTTGACGTTGGCCATGTGCCCTTGAGGTTGCCGAGAGCAAAACAACTCCTCGCCACTATCAACAACAACTTCTCGACTCTAGCCTTCTGCAGACGGTACTTGGACCGTATTGATGAAACCAAATACTTAATGGCGTTAAAGAATCTATGTGACGCTGGCATTGTTCAGGTAACACTCTTCTCACACCAAGTCTAAATGGTCTCATTGAGATGAAAAAAGAGAGCTAAATCTTGTGTTGTTCTTTTCAGCCGTATCCTCCTCTATGTGATGTGAAGGGAAGCTATGTATCACAGTTTGAGCACACCATTTTACTCCGACCCACTTGCAAAGAAGTCATCTCCAAGGGAGATGACTACTGATTCATCAGATCCTCTGTTTGGAGATGACTACTGATTCATCAGATCCTCTGTTTTTGTGCTCTGTTCTTTTCATATCATATTACTGTTATTGAGAGTAACTGATTCAAATCCTCTGTTTTTTACTCTGTTCTTTTTCATAGTTTGAGACTGTACACTGCTTGTTATTTTCTTTCTCGTCGTTAACACCATCTTTGAATCACTTTTATAAAACTTCAATATCTGTTTAAAAAAAAAAACTTTGAGTTGAAAAAATGAATTTATCTTAATCTCTACTATTAAAGAAGACAAGAAGCGGCCTAAAGCTTCTTGCTTTCGATTAAAAAAGTTGACTTTATATAAAGATACAGCGAAGAAGAAGAAGAAGAGATAACACTAAACAGAGAGATCTCTAGCTTAATCTATGGCGGCGACGATAGTAAAGGCTGGACTTTTCGCCGCCCTTCCTCTCCGTACTCACTTCCCTCCCTGCTTCTCCTCTTCACCGAAGACACTAGCTTCAGTTTCTCGGTCTCTGCGTCTCTCCGCGGTTAATAACCACCACCATCGTGGAAGCTCCTGGCCTCGAGTTACCACTTTCTGCACGGCGGCTCCTGATGATGCCGTGTCTCCAGTTTCTGAACCAGAGAAGAAGAGTGAATCTCAGGAGGTGGTGGTGGAGGAAAATGTGAAAGAGACAGCGAATCTGTTGGACATAAGAGTAGGAAGAATCATCAAAGCTTGGCAACACGAGGAGGCAGATTCTCTGTATGTTGAAGAAGTTGATATAGGTGAAGCAGAGCCAAGAATTATCTGCAGTGGTCTCGTTAAATACGTATCTCTCGATCTTCTTCAGGTCAGAGCTTCATTGTTTCCCAAACACTTCAACTCTCTTCTGGTCTTGTCTTAAGAACAATTGAATTTTGTTGAATCTATAGGGTGCAGCAGTTGTGGTGTTGGCTAATCTGAAGCCAAGGAACATGAGAGGGGTTAAGTCATGTGGTATGCTTCTTTGTGCTTCTGACTCATCTCATGAGAATGTTGAGCCTTTGGTTCCACCACAAGGTTCTGTTCCTGGAGATAGAGTTTGGTTTGGTGGTGAAGAAGATCTTGAGCAGCTTCCTGAGCCTGCACCTGCTAACAAGGTCTTAACTCTATATTCAGTTCAGTAAACAAAGGTCTGTTAGTGTTTAGTGATTGGTCTTTGTTGTTGCAGGTTCAGAAGAAGAAGATGTGGGAAGCTGTGCAACCGTTGTTGAAGACTGATGAATCTGGTGTTTCCATGCTTAAGGAGGAGCATTTGATGCGGACATCTGTTGGTGTTGTTACTTCCAACACTTTGAAAAACGCAAACATTTCTTGATTTTGATGATGTACTTGTTTTTGACAGAGAGATAAAAACAGAACAAAGTACTTTCATTGCAATAAAACTGATGTTTTTTCCGCTGATTTATCAATGAGGTTATTCATAAGGAATCACAAAGAAAGATTACAAAAAAAACAAATCACTGGAAATCGAATGTTTTCCTCAAGCAAAGACGGAGAATATATCACCATTGATGTAGTCGTTGTCCACTAAGCTCACCAAGTAGTAGCTGTTCTTCACCTGCATATTTCATAAAGACAACAATCATCATTACAGTTAAAACACCAATCTGGTCTGAAGAGAAGGGAAATGAGGAAGATTCTCTTATGTACCTCCTCGAGTAACTTTCTAGAAGGGTCATCCTCTGGGTACAAGTTAGCCCAGCTTCTTGACCAAATCTCAAAGGCTTCGTCTTTCCAGACTTTGAAACTGGCTGGATCCACGATTGTTGGTTGGATAATCTCTTTAGCTGGGAACACTCCCCATGTAACTGCATTCACATCGGCTTCACCAACGTTTGATACCCAGTTCCCTGCTTTGTTCACAGCCATGTAGGTGATGGAAGGAAAAGCTTTGGATTTCTCCATAAGTGTGTCTAACTTATCCTTTGAGCAGAAGAGCTCTAGGTAAGCTTTCTGGTAGACGTAACCACCAGGACCACCCCATCCTGCAAAGTTCCCAACATTTTTGGTATAAGCTATAAGAATAACCCAACGAATCACAGTGAGATCAATCATTTCTATGTGAAAAAAGATTTACCAATAGCAGGGGAATCAGATTTGGCTGCGTTGACTGATGGTTGGCTGTTGATGGTCAAGAAGCCGTTGGAGTTGATTTTGCCGAGTTTCTCGTTTATGATCTTTGTCTCTGGCTGGAGTCCATCTAACTCAGACCATGGACTGCTTTTCAAGTTTCCAACGCAGAGCTCCTTGAATTTCTGGTTTGTGACATTGTTTACAAGATAATTTGTAAGTGATTGCGTATAAAGTGAAAGATGAAGGAATCAATTTATATGACTGCTAAGAAAAGGAAAGGATACCTCTTGAACGTCTTCAATGCTTTTCAATGGGACAACCCATTCTTGTTGAAGCTTCTTGTCACGTGCTCTTGGGCGCATGAACTGTCAACAAATGCATATAGATTATAGAGATCAGCACCATAAAAAGGCAATGAAAGACACATAAGAAAATGGCACAACTAATCAAACCAAACGTGTTCCGTGGAAAGCAAACCGATTGTCAGAAAGACTATGAATATGTGGTACCTGATAGTCCGAGAGTGTGCTATATGATGCACTGCGAGAATCACCCCACCGTCCCTGTGGGAAGTCATTCCAGCCCTTTGTTCTTGATATGTAGCTCTTTGGACGGTTTGCCCTGCAAAGATTCAGAAAGAAACAATGGTATTATTCTCTCCGTATATACAAGTGTAAGATCTGAATCAATTGGTGAGACTAAAGCAGAGCAGGAGAGACAACACGAAGGTTTACCAGAAAATAGGACGAACATCTTCCTTAGTACGGAAAACATTTGCAGGGCGTCTCCAAGGTAAAGAACGAGTAATCTTTGACTCATCAATCAGACCAAGGTTCTACAAGTTCAGCATCATTGTTAGGTTCTCTAGTCTCCAATATGACATGTATTTTTAAGGGAGACAGATTAAGGAAATGAGGAACAACCATTAATATCCCTATGGCTGATTTGTCCATGTTCAATGTGTAGAGATGAAGAGCAGTGATTCCATGAGCCAAAATCTTTTTGCACATTTCTGTTGCAAAGTGAATACCAAAGGCCTTAACAGCTTCTTCATTATCCTTGATAGGCTCCAACGCAGCAGTGAGCTCAGCAGGTATCTATAGCAAATAATAGCATGAATGGAATATTGATAATATCCGAGAACACTAGTTACCAGACATCACCAAGGATCTAAATACGTCAGCCTAATATTATAATCAATAAGCAACGACATATACGCAGTAAACTCAATCTAATCTTAAAGCATTTAAGCACAAAGACAACATGTTTCTAGTTCTACACATTGACAGCTATATCAATCTAATAATCTAATCTTAGAGCATCAAAGCACAAAGACAACATGTTTCTACACATTGCCAGCCATATCAATCTAATCTTACGCAGTTAAGCACAAAGACAACATGTTCTACACAGTGCAAGCTAATACAGAACAAGAGATCACTGAAACGTACCTTGGTTTTGCAAAAACCAGCCATACGCAAGAACCCCTTGTAGTTAGAAATGGGCATAATCCCAGGAACAATGGGACAATTAATCCCAATTTGCCGACAGTCATTCACAAACTTGAGGAAAATATCAGTATCATAGAATAGCTGTGTCACAATCAGATCCGCTCCAGCATCAACCTGTTCCACAAACCAACCCCTCAGATCAAAAACAACTCAACCCAACACACAAAACACAAATCCATAAACACAAAAATCCAAACCTTTTTCTTCAAGTAAGCAAGATCACTCTGATACGACTCAGGAGTAGCTAGTCCATCAGCTTCAATCACATCAGGATGAGCCTCTGTTTCAAAAACACACAAACCTAATTAGATAAACATTTAACAAAACCAGTGTTCTAAAAATCGCGCCTAGGCACCCCGCCTATTCGGCAAATTTGTGATAACTGGATTAACCATAACATTTTATGTATTAATTTGGTCTTTTAGACTTACAATGAGATCTTAACTAAACAAGTGTTCTAAAAATTAGTCTACTCGCCTAGTCGGCAAATCGGATCTGAACAAAACAACCTTTGTTAAATCCGGTTTATTGTCGACCTTCCAACTTAAAACTAATTAGCGATAATTGGAATGGCCGTAACAATATATTAATGTTGATCTCTTAGAAATTTGGGATGCGTCCCCCTAAACATTAGTCCTCTATAAAGAACTTAACCACCACCTAGCGATTTATTGAACACTAAAATGTTAAATCCAAACTTCTTATGAGTTTCCAACTTAAAACCAATTTGTGATCAGGTTTAACCATAACATTTTATATATTAATTTGGTCTTTTAAAACTTTCTATGAGAGGTCTTAACAGATCTACGCACACCCGCCTAAACAGTAGTCCTCTATAAAGTACCTAACCACCACCTAGAGATTTATTGAACACTAAAATGTTAAATCCGAACTTATTATGAATTTCCAACTTAAAACCAATTAGTGATAACTGAATTAGCCATAACATTTTATATATTAATTTTTTCTTTTAAAACTTTCAATGTGAGATCTTAACAGGTCTACGCGCCCGCCTAAACACTAGTCCTCTATAAAAAGAGTCCAACTACCACAGATCTAGGCGTCCACCTAAACATTAATTCTCTATAAAGATCCTAACCACGGCCTAGCGATTTCTTGAACATTGAACAAAACCAACAACTAAGTTGAAAAAAAAAAGGCATATACCAGGATAACCAGCAACAGTAATCCCAAAGTAATCACCATACTTCCCCCTAATATGATTCACAAGATCCAACGCACACGCAAACCCTCCTTCCACCTGCACAAACTTATCCTGACCATGAGGCGGATCGCCTCTAAGCGCAAGCACATTCTGAATCCCGTTAGCTCTAATCGTCTCCAGCGCGTGATCAATCTTCTCCACAGGCATGTTCGTGCACGTCAGATGCATCATCGTCTCCACGCAGACCACATTCTGCATCCTCGACGCGATCTCGAGCGTCAGGTCGGCCGTGGAGCCTCCCGCGCCCCACGTGATGTCGCAGAAGGAAGGTCCGTAGGAGACGAGGCGATCCATACGTTCGAAGAGATTCTCGACGCCGTCTTCGGTTTTCGGAGGGAAGAACTCGAAGGAGAAGGCGGTTTGGCCTTGATCGGTTAGGGATTTGATCTTGTCGACTACTTTCATCGTCGGGTGAGATTTGAATCTGAGATTCGAAATGAGGATATGTGGGAAAAGAGGAGAAGTGGTGGAGAGGCAAGTGAGTGAGTGGGTTCGTTTATTCGCTGTTTTATATACTACGTAGAGAAACTGGTAAACCGGTTAAACTAGTTTATTAAAAAAATGTTAATATATACGCATCTATATTTTATCAGACAATTTTTTTTTTTTTTTTTTGCAGAATTTAAGTTTAATTAACATAATAAGATCAATACAATTTCTTTAGGGCATTTCTCCAAAATAACTCTCTTTTAAGTTTTTATCACAAAATAGACCTCAAAATTAAAATGACTGAAATAGCATTATTTATTTTTAAATTTTTAAATTTCCTTTATTTTTTTTATTTTTTTTTTAAATTTCGAAACCTATTCCTCAAAATCTCACTCTTCAACTCTAAACAAAAAAAATCTAGGATTAGTTAACCCAAAGAATATAAATGTATATTTAATAAAACATTTAAATGTTATTTTGGTCATTTTAATTGTTAAGATCTATTATATTTATGATAAAAAAAATTTTAGGTCTATTCTAATCATTTTCTCATTTCTTTATTGTGCTGCCTTATGCATAAGTTTTAAAGTATATTTACTTTAAAAACAACAATTCAAGTAAAAAAAATTAAAAAAATAAAATCACTAGAATTTCGAAAAATTAAATTAGCCTTGGAACGAAGATGAATATTTTTTTGTTACATTGTAGGCAAGCCCCTGCATATATACCACTAATATAAATAACTCTAATTAATGTTGAATTTGTTTAGTTGATTTTGAAACATGTGTTAAATCTAAACACATATTTGCATAAACTAATGACCCTTCTAAAAGTTAGTAATAAAATAATACTAACGATCTCTCCTTTTGATTAAAATTGAATTTGATATAATACTTCACTATTTTTTCCCACCATTATAATCGTTAAACACATGTTTTATGTAAAATAAATGAAACATATAATATAACTAAGCTTATAAATTATAATTAAGGTTATGAATTTCTAAACTAATCAGCTAAAAAAAAAAAAAAAAACTAATCAGCTAAGGTAGGTGAGCTAAGACCCCACAGCACCTACCACCGGATATGCTAATACACTGTCGGTCACTGGCGCGTGGGTTTCATTCGCTACTAACCTACTCACGATGCAGCCCAGAAGAATCACGTGCGCTTATTAATAAATTAGCTGGACTTACAAACAGAACAAACCGGTAAATTGGTTTATGGTCCTCAAATAACCAAACCCACTCCGGTTTTGACATCAAAAACACTTTGGTGATTTGGTCAATCAAAAACACTTTGGTCCAATACATTTCACATGTATATACGGATTCGAGTTGGATACAACAACAAATTCTACACTACACACATCCTTTGCCAACCCGAGACAGTTTGGTTAGTTATATAATATCATCACATACCGCCCGGTTAACGACAAATGTTGAACAATTAAAAGGTAAAGAAAGGAATCAGAGAGTAGACTGAAGGAATCAAACATTTGCGAGCTTCCAAACTTCTCTGGACAAATCGATCCTCTCAGTAACACCATCCTCAAACATGACCTGGTAAAAAGACAAACTGATTCCTATAAAAAATAGATTTCATAAAACGAAAGTGAACAACAGAACTGAGGTGGAGTCATACCAAGTGCTTTCTTGAACACTCATCAAACTGAGGGTATGTTCTAACTTTTACTAACTTTAGCACCTAGCGTCTTCCTGCAACATACTGCACCACAGAAGCAATCTTGATCTGCACCAAACTGAACAAACCTGCTATGTCTTTTAGTGTCTCAGTTTTATGTGAATTTTCTTTTTGTTAAGGAAACGTTTCTTACTGGTAATCGTACGTCACGTCGTCTCCTTTTTTTATGTCACGAGTTGCAAAGATGGCGATTCTTATCTCTCCATCATTTACCCTATTGGAAGCAAAAAATGTAACAAAACAAAATAAACAAGTTACTTAGATGAGAAGAAAAGTGAGAAGATGGATGGATTAACAAACCATTTCTGCATCTTTGCATTAGGATTGCAGCTGTGATTGATATATCTTGATTTATTCCCCTTGTAAGTAGCATCAATCACCATATTCGAGTTTACTTGACACAAATAGAAGTTTGTCTCCTCCTTATGATTCATCTCCCTAAGCCTCTCTTCACAAATCTTTTTATTGATAACTAACAATAAGAAATACAAATGAATGTCACATACAGACAGTAAGCAAGAAACAAAAAAAAGTAATCTCATTACCTTCCCCAACATATTCGATGATAAACTCTCCTGCATTGATATCTTCATCTGCTACAATCCCATCTCCACATTTCTCTGTCTACAAGGAAACAATCTATTTAAAACATATGCATTCATTAACAACTTGTAGCTACCAAGTACCACACCTGAACTCGTTTCATCTTCTTGATACGTCTTTTTTCGAACGGCTTGTTGGTGCACTCACATCTACACCCGCAAGTAGATGAACAGCTTGATAGTATAATACTGTAACAATGTGATGATGAATGGTTACTTAACCGTACCAAACTACAAAGATTCGTCACAAAACCAATAAACATCTCATGCATACCGACAACTGCAGTCACTGCCGCATAGAGTTGAAGAGGAGGCGGGAGATAGAGAGCAAGAACAGAATATGCCGTGATCTTTATCCTTCTTCTTGAACTTCTTATTCAGGTATGTATCTTGAAGTAAAGAAAATCAAGGTGAAAACAAATCCAGAAGCGTGTGTTGGAAGTAAACTAAAAAAACTTTGAATTCTGTAACAAGTTTGAAAAGATACTGCGCCTTATGGATTTTGGCTTTTTAGATTCCCCAATCTGCTTGGATAATTTATAAAACCCTAAATTAGAGAAAACTTTAAAAGGTCTATAGGGAAACAGAGGAATCAGAGAAAGATCGGAACGTACCTTCTTCTCGGAGGTAGCCATGGAAACGCTGACACAACAATCAAAGATCTTAAAATGGCGGAGGATATATCTCTGAGACCTTTCAAAACCCTAACTAAATTGGAAAGAAACGATCATGAGAGAGTGAAGAAAGAAACGAGCGGTAGTTTCTATACCCGTTTCTTTTCGAAATAAACAATATGTCAGAGCGGGATTCAAGGGTTATATTGTCATTTGTATTGAATGATGCAGGCCCGCTAATCTCTGGTTTAGAAACAAAATGGGCTTTAGTGTACTGGCCCAAAACAAATCCAAACCCGAATCGAACTAATTGAGCAACTGTGATTATTCGCAATACTATAGTTGACTAAACTGAGCAACTTTGGATTTATTGTAGATCCGCAAGGGAAACTGCGTTAGAGTTCTTAACTCGATTGCATAGTTTGGGCCTTTAGATCCTCTTTGATTCCTAAATTGCGTAAAGAAAGATTTATGTGCTGTGTTAAGTCTAGCTCGTTACTGTGGTTTAGGCTTGTTTTTTTATATCAATTTGGCTCCTAAAGTTTTTAGCTGACTTTGAGAGCTAAAGCTATGTCAATATTAACCTGATCATGTGTTCTATCTCTTGTGCTTCTTATGCACAGATAAAAAGGTAAATTTGCGGCCAGATGCTCTTTGCACAGGTCTGCATTTGTGAGTACTTATCATCTTTTAGCTTTAGGTTTCAAACTTCTCCTAACATATGGTCTAACTATAATCCATCTTCATCAGGCATTGCTATTTCAAAGGCTGGGAAGGTCTTGGAGGAAAAAGGAATCTGAGGTTAGTTATGTTGTCTTAGTTACTGGATATACAGTACTAAGAACATCCATCTGTTTAGTCACTGAAAGTGAGCTTGTTTGGTCTGAAAATGCAGCCACCTGAAGAGGGATACTTAGATATCTTAGAATTTTTTAGTGATTCTGAGGCTTCAGCATTCTCGATTCACAATCTTATACTATTTGGAGAATCTTATGGCCTGGTTGGTGGGTCATGGGTGGGACCATATACTGTTTTTCCGCACTGGTTCGGAAGGAGAAACTGAGTGGACTTGGTCCCACTGGTCCTTGGACTTGACAAGGTGAGCCCAAGGTTTGTGGTTTTATCAAATTGATTGCTAGGCGATATGTACTTGAAGTCTAAAATTTGATTTCTTCTAATTACATACATGAATCTAAATATATTCACTATAGTGTGTGCAGAAGTGACTTGTTATGGAGTTTTAGCTATGCAATCATTGACATGGTTCTGAAATAAAATGATTCTAAATTTTTTTTGTCAGGTACATTCACTCTCTGATAGCCACATTTTCACTTTCCCTCAAAGCGTGGGAATATTGGGCGGCAAACCAGGTGCATCAACTTACATAGTTAGAGTCCAAGAAGATAAAAGGTTTCTACCACCACTCCTTCTGAATCCACGTTTTATTAGAATCTGGATAGGATCATAATTACGAAAGTTACTCAACGTTTGATCTGGCATGCTTTGATTCGATGTTTGAGACATCAAAGTGGTCCATATTCATTATATTGTCTCTTTTCACATTAATTTATGTATTGTCTAATTGGTCTGGGGATTGAATTTTGATCGGTTTGGACAGCCCATGTGCTTCAGTCTCACTGATTAAGCCTTATCTGTAATGGTTGGTAGGTAGTGACAGTCAAGAAAGAAAACTCGAGATGTTGACACATCGTCTTACCATTGCAAGTGAGTGAGTGAGTGAGTGAATTGATTGATTCAGTTTTGCATCATTTAGTTCTTTGTCTCCTCGTGATTTTTCACGTATTATATCTCCTGCATGTCTGCTACAGAGTACTGTACGTTATGTTCCGTTGGGTTCTATTGCCGGGATAAAGGTACTGGCACTGGTCTCTAATGATACGGTGGTTTAATTTCGGTTCGATTTTTTCCTTTATTGAAACCAGTTAGTAACGGAATGCTAATTCGTTTTGGTTTACACCCTAAACTTCATTCCGGTTTATTTTAGTTTTGATTTACACAAAGTTCAGTTTAGGTTTGGTTTTGTGGCTTTAGAATTTTAAAATACCGGTTTAAATAATATAATTTTGATGATTTCTGTATATCTTGCTGCTTGGTAAATAGAGGATTTTAACTTGTTTTACACAAAGTTCAATTTCGGTTTGGTTTTGGTGGCTTTAGAATATTAAAATTACCGGTTTAAACAATATAATCTTGATGATTTCTGTATATCTTTCTGCTTGGTAAATAGAGGACTTTGATGATTTTCTGCATCCGAACAACAAAACCGGTTTATTTTAGTTGAATTTACACAAAGTTCAGTTTTGGTTTAGTTTTGGCGGCTTTAGAATATTAAATTACCGGATTAAACAATATAATTTTGACGATTTCTGTATATCTTGCTGCTTGGTAGCATAGATGTGTTTGATGATTTCTGCATCCGAGCAACGAAGCTAGCTGGAGAAACTAGCACTGTGACTGTTTGACATGTACAGAGATATCTGGTGACAAGCATGAAAACGAGTGGCAATTACATTGCGCGGTCTCACCAAAGACATTTTATTTTACGCCTCACTGACACCACTCTTTTTACATAATTACCAAGATATCATGTTTTGTACACATTAAAAACTCCCAAATATATTGAAATTTCATATTAACTCAAAAACGTTAAGCCAAAAAGTGTTCTCAAAAGAGAGATTCTTGATTCTTCAGCTTCAGATCATTTACACATAGATCGAAGCATAAGAGAAAGGAAGACTCGAAAAACCAGACGGAGTGCTGACGTGGCTCCACTTCCCGCCATCTGTCCTCACCATCATCGTCCCACTCTCTTCCCCGCCACCGCCAACCATCGCCACCGCTTGCCCACTCAAACTCCCCGCGAAAACAGACGTCATCGTCGTCACAGGTAACCGAACCGTCTCCATAACAACCTTCCACTTCCCCTCACCATCCTCAACCTCCCAACGAGCCTCACACTCTCTCTCACTATCAACAAAACACCATAACTTAGATCCAACGGCTGCGGATGTGCGACCTCTCGGGCTCAAATCCGGAAAAGGCCAAACATCCTCAACCAAGGCCCACGAATCCGTGTCCGGATCGTAAACCTCAGCGTCTGACCTGAACTGACCTTGCGAATCCGTCCCATACCCGCTCAAAACGCAGAAACCAACACCAATGGAGAATCCAACACACTCGTCTCTCCCTTCCCTCATAGGAGGAATCATCACCCACTCATCCTTCTCCACATCGTAAACTTCAGCAGATTTAATAGCGTTCTTCTGATCGTCGTGTCCTCCCGCGACGTACACTTGCTTAGAGCCAACACCCGCCTCGGCGCAGGCGAAGAACGATCTCGCCGACGACATAGGCTTCCCTCTCTTCCACCCTCTCCCGTCTCCGGAGGAGAAGTCGAGAATAAACACGTCCTTCACGGGCTGCAACGTCTCCGGATCCCACCCGCCGATTAACAACAATTGTTTGGAGTCTTGTAGCGAAACGCACTCGCAGAATAAAGGGATACGTTCCGGAATCGCGACGCAGTGCCACGTGTCTAATGTTGCGTTGTAAACGCTTAATCCATAAAGTGGCGTTCCAATCACACGTGGTTGCTGAAGCTGCTGATTCTGTTGTGAATGAGACTCTCCTTCCTCTTCTTTTTTCTTGTCATTCACGTCACCGTCTACAGATGAATTAACCGGAGAGGACGGTGAAGTCAGAGGCTGGACAAGGCAGAGAAGAGACTCGTCTTTTCCAGCTCTTCTCCGTTCCCGGTTAAAACAACCGTCGGAGATTAAGTTTCGCCATAACCGTGAAACTGATTTAATTGAGGAATGAAACTCGAACGGGACTCTAACTAAACACTCCGTAGCTAATTCCTCAGGTAGTCCCGAGATTAAATCCTGATGAGCTCTTTTATTAAATTCCTCCGACACACTCATGATTTTGTTGTTATCTTTTTATTACAGGACCTGGAAGCTTCTTAGAAAACAGAGTATGAAGAAAAAAGGTTTTGTGATTTTGACTTTGGAGAAAAATCGTATGAGACACTCAAGAAGATGTGATTGGTAAGCAAAGTGGCAGAGAGGGTCATTTTTATAGGGGGATAAGTGAAGAAGACGGTCCTTAGATAATTATCATCTTTTTATTTTTATTTTTTTATTATTTTGAATACAATAATTTTTGCCGCATCTCTCTATTATTGTTCATCACTTTAATTATTCTTGATATTTCCGAACAAACAGACAAAAATGCTGTAAAATAGGAATTTAAAATTATTTCTTATCTACAGAGCACACAGATTAAAACGCATTTTTGGTATATTATCTAATTTTCATCACAAATAAATATACTCCGGAGTGGACAAAATAGATTTTGATTTAAGACGTCATATGTAAATGCATTATATTATGGGAAGTACCAAGGTGTGATTAACAACGATCTGATGCAGGCTAATTAGGTGATTTTAATTTTTAAAAATTCTCGTTTCAAACCACACCGAATAAAATCATTCAAAATGTCAATGAATAATTTTAGTTTCTTATATATGTCGGCAAAATATGGAAATTTAAAAATTTTAAATCAGATCACACTGAATAAAATCATTCAAATGTGTACTAATAAATTAATTTCCTCATATATGGAACGGGCCACACGATTTCGATTTTATTCATATTTATTTTTAGATGTGTGTAAACGCATTAAATATTGTGAAATGCCGTGATGGATCTGATCTTTTTTCTTTCACCAAAATAGTACGAGATATCTTGTTTCCAATAATTTAAAATCAATTATTCTGGAAAATGGTTCTAGAAGATGACCATGTGGATATGATGAGTTATCTTCTTTCTTATCCAAAGGAGAAACGACAACACGGTGACACATGGACGGACCATGCACCGTAGTCATTACAACCTCTCATTGTTCGAGAAAATAAGTATCATAAAAAAACGTATATCAATAATAGATATCATAACATTTGATAAAGATTTTGTGTAATACTGCAGTGAGTGACGATGTTGTGAAAGATAGTGAAAATATAAGCATCTTGAATTTGAAAGATAAAGAAATTTTACGTAATGGACTATGTGATGCAAACAAAAGAAAGTGTCTGCTTGTTCTTATGTTCCGTTTGTTCTTGTTCTTATGTTCCGTTTGTTCAATCATATTTCATGTGTTTATGTTTGTTTTTGTTAATAAAACTAGATAAGAACCAAACTTGTTGAACCAAAGAGTCAAAGACAAAAATAACAAACTATAAATGTCTTAAATCATTGATGTAAAGCCCATCCTAAACAAACTCGAGCGAGCGATGCATGCATAATATGGTAATGGATATACATCACATATGCAATCAATAGTAATTAGAAGGTCTGGCATTTCTTTATCAACATGACTTGTAAGGTGTGACATTAAAGGGGCTGTTCCATTTGTACTAAATACCTAACCCTAACTCCTACCGTTTGCCAACCTTATCTTTAATTTTTTCCCCCTTTCCCCTTTGATTATTCGTTTTCAATCAACTAGCACTAACACATAAAAGTTTGGAGTAATACACTAAAATGCGTTAATGTGATGTTATATATATAGTTGTAGTCATGTCTGATGTTTTAGTTTAATCAATTTATTCACTTTAGATTCTCACGGCTTGTTTTGTATACATTATTAAAGTGTTTGTTGTGATGTTTATAGTTGAAGTCAATTCTGATTTTTTTAGTTTTATCATCTTGTTCACTTTTCTGCTTACGGCTAATTTTACTGTGGCAATAAAATTCCGGTATAGATTTGTAGCCAAGACAAAAAATAATGAAACTAAAAATATGAAAAACGAGCTATGCCTTCTAGAAGACAAGTCATATGTATTAATTCGTTTGTTCGCCTTTAAAGGTGGAAACAAACGAGTGGTAAATCTTACGCCTGAAGCCACACAATCTTCCATGCGTTTTGGCTTTTTTCCAATTAAGATATTTTAGGGAAAAAAACTGTTAGTAGAAGAAAAAAAAGTCTTATAATAAATTTACAGAATATGATTTGTTGCTTATATTACATCATGTTAGGTCATAATTGTTAGAAATTCGTTATCAACGTTATATAAAGTAAACAAAAGAGCATTTTCTTGAACATCAAAAGCATATTTTATTGTATTGAAAATACATGTCAATGATTTTTTAAAAATAAATTATATCAATAAAATTGTTGCTGAAAATTCTACAGAAAAAGCAGGACCGGCTCAAGAATTTTACGATCCTAAAATGTAGATCCTTAAAACTAATATTGATTCAAAGTTTTAATAACACTTGTATTAAAAAATATATATCATAAGTATGTTTTAAAAACATTGTGATGAAAACAAATATATATTTATTTTAATAAATATTTTTAGATCGATCCTCTGTATAAACTTTTAACATAAGACTACATATTTTTTTTAGAAAAACAGGCTCTTCACTATTAAGAAATGAGAGGATACTAGATTGGATTAGGGGTGATAACATAGTCAAGATCAACGCTTATAAGTAACTACTCCTCTTCAAGTGTATAATTATGTTGTGTGCACTTTCGTCTCACTCTGAATACCAAACTCGTGTTGTGTTTTCACTGAGGGCTTTCAAATTACATGCAACAAACAATATGAGAATGTCAGAGTAGAAAAAAAATATATTTCCCATTAATACGAAATTATACGTGAAGAAGTGATTTGGTGGCATTGGTGTACACAATAATACTGGACATTCTCTACGAAAACCCACGTACGTACGTGTTTGAGTAATTTTAGGTTTTGCCTCTCGGAGAGCAATGACAGTTTACGTTAACGTTACGCGAGCAATATATTGTTAAGAAAAGTGCAAGAAAATCATCCTATTGCATTATATGTAACCGATTCGTAAAATTTTATTTACAGTCATATGATTTTGACATCTACGTATCATCTAGCTGGCCTTTCTTAACCCGAATAGAATAATTTATATGCAGAAGTATATATGTTCTTTATCTCCAGAGCTTGATCATCCATTCCTACTCATTATTATGTATCCCAAAAGCCTTTAAATGACTACAAGTAGATTAGAGTAAGGAAACTAAGCATCAAAGTCGTTGTAGTATAGTGGTAAGTATTCCCGCCTGTCACGCGGGTGACCCGGGTTCGATCCCCGGCAACGGCGTCGTTTTAGTTTTGTAAATTGTATAATATGTATACAAAAAATTAAATGGCTTCGCCCGGGTTCGAACCGGAGACCTTCAGTGTGTTAGACTGACGTGATAACCAACTACACCACGAAACCTTATTGAACAACTATCAGCAAGAAGTGTTATTCATCTTCAACTAAATAGTTTATTTTTTAATGTGGAATTTAATCGAATTATGGTTACAAATTATTGTTTGTGAAATTTATATTATCAAGAATAATCTTACTAGAAACTCTTAGTAGAAATTATGGGATTAACTAATAAATTGTTGTAGGTAAAACATATTTAGCTTTCGTAATACATTCTCAGAGAAAAAAAGAGGACACCAACATCCGAAAAAAGTTTTTCAAAGAGATTTTATAAGTTTTAACCGAACATTCAACATTAACGGGGAACACAGGGTCGTTGATTGCTAAAACATGAGCATCGGTATGATTATGTCTTCAAAGTTTAAAACCAACAAAAAGAAATGTAAAACAAGTAAATAAACAACTAGAGAGAGAGAGAGAGAGTGATCTACATGTTTCTCATTCCTCGGCTGCACTTGCTGCACTCAAATCAACAGTTAAGTCAAAATCTTTGTGTAATCTGATGATTTACATATTCAACCATTGTATATGATCGGCCCGTTCGAAACCATTCAAAGTAGAAATGTTATTAAGATAACATGGAAGTTTTGAAACAATGGTGTTATGCAAAATCTCATGAGCTTTTACTAGCCATCTTTCTCTTAAATTGGGCTTAGATTGACCTGAATCTACTCAAAATATATTATATGATTAAACGGGTCCATTACGGAATGTTCTTAATAAGTTGGCATTTATAAGGCTTGGTTTAACACCAACATATACAACATCCATGTTCGACCGATTGCTTTTTGATTTACAATTTTAAAACGCATGTTAAAAATAGTTATCTGTTATCATTTTTCTACTTCTGCATCACTTTTTAAATATCAAATGGGGAAGTAAAATCGGTAAAAATTTGACATTCTAGTTTCTCAATGGTTGTATAAAAATTGGTAAAACATAATAATCACGGAAGGAAAGTGCTTGTGATTTTTTTTTAAATCTTAATAATCAAAAATAATTGAAAGAGTGGGACATGGTAGACAAAAAATATATATATTTGCAGTTACATCTGCGTCACATTCGTATGTCTGTGTTTTCCGTAAGCAACTCACTTAACGAGTCGTTTTCGTATGTTACAATAATAATAACAGAAGAATAATCATAACATTATTTAGAATCAACCTGATGATAACATTTTGTAATATTTTCAAAGGGAAATCATTTTTCGATTGATGTTGATACTTAATAGTTTTAAAATAAAAGTATATACCGTATTTTTGTAACCTCACACGCATTATATATATGATTACAAGACTTTAATAATTCACATGATTGTGGGTCTTGGATGATTATAATAAACCATGTTAGCATCTACCATTACATCACCATCCATTGAACATTTCTCTTATACTTTTGTTATAGGTTTACCATCAGTGATTAGGACGCGTTTTAGTAATCAACAAGTACAAAATTTACATGTTTGTTTCACACCTAAATACTGTTCCACTTATATAACAATGCAATATATCAGTTTTGAATCTCAAATCTCTTATAAACCACAATATTAATTAATTAAATGTAATGTTTCAATATATTAAAAACAAATAATTAAGTTAATTATCCTCTCTGTTTTGTCTTCATATGATTTGAAGTCGTTAGATTGAGTAGATTCTAAGATTTCAAAAAGAAAAAAAATTAACAGCGACCAAAGAAAAGAAGAGAGAATCTATCATTATAATTAAAAAAAAAAGATTCCCCAAATGTAAATTAATCAAAGAGAGAATATATTTATTTTTTAAAATAAAAATGGTGTCATAAAAAAAAACAAGAACCCGATGCACACAAGAGAGGGTTCTTCTCAGCCTCTCTTTCTCCTCTCTCTCTCTTTCTCTGTAATGGAATCCAGGTTTCTCTCTCTCTCTATCTCTATCTCTTATTCTTGTTTATGTTTCATGTCCAGATACGTTCTTCTTCTTCAACTCGATCCGGTTTTGTCTAATCATGTGTTCGATTTTATATTTCTAGGGTTTGTTGTTGATCTCTTACGCCATGGTCAAGACACAGTAACTCTTTATGTGAAAGGTTTTGTTTTTTTTTTGTCTGCAATTCAAGAAGAGAGGTTTCAGTTGTCTCTTGTCCGTAAAGAGAAGTCTTGTTTGGTTTTCTTGCGAAGAATTAAAAAGTTGAGACCATTTTGCTCTTGTTTTGCTCTGGTTCCAAGAAGAGAAGTCTTGTTTGGTTCTTGAGAAGAAACTAAAGAAAAATGGAGAAAGAATCATTGTTTGATGATATAAAGTTAAGTGATGAAGAGATATACTACCCTGATGAGTCATACGAGATGGAAACTGAGACCAAACACAAGAAGGAAGTAGGTGAAGGGACGAGTAATGTTGTTTTTTCAAGAGAGGCACCTTTGATAAGTAAGGTTCCACCTGGCAAATGCTGTGGCTGTGGTTCAAAGAAACTTAATTTCAAAGGCAGTGAAGATCTCATTGACAAGGAAAACAATGTTCAGCAGAAAAAGCTTAATAGACAGGAGAGAATCGAATTAGGACGTGTCTTCCAAGGTGCTGTGATCTCACTGGATTGGGAACATGCTGAGAGGTTGATTCAGTTAGCTGATACACAAACTTTGAATGATTTTCTGTGCGTTGGTTTAGATTCTGTTTGGTTCTTGACTACAAAGCAAGAGTTTCAGGGGATTACTGGGTTGATTAAGAAGATCATATGTAATGGTGCTCATGACTTTACAAGAGCTACTCTTAGGACTTCGTTTCTAGCTTCATGTGTCTCTGCTTGCCAGAGCAGGACAATGAGCCTTGCTGATAGTGTTACTGTAATGGCTCAAAGGTATGATTGCATTTCTTCTCTTTTTATTAGTATAGTTTTGATGCTTAGAACAGGTTGGCTCCTGCAGTCTCAGTAGACTTTGTTTGCTACACAGTTACTATTAGGCATATGTGTTTAGTTGTTTCGGTTTTGGTTTGGTTCGGGTAGCAAAGTTAGGAACCGGTTAATATCCGAAAAGATTTCAGGTCAAGTTCGGTTCCGGTTTTTTGAGTGATTTCAGATAATATGAGTAAAACGTCATATAATTCAGTTTTTCAGGTTAAAGATAGGGTAGTTTGTATAAAAATAATTATAAATATTTCGTTTAAAAATATTCGGGGTATTTGAGTTTATAAATAGTATAGTTATTTAGAAACTAAATATGTGTTTCAAAAAAAAAAATTTAGAAACTAAATATAAATAATTTTATTAGGTATATAATCTCCGGTTCAGTTTTTGGTTATCTTGGTTTGGTACGGTTTTGTTCTCTGGTTCAGGATAAATGTGCCTAGGCCTAGTTACTATTATCTAAATCCAGAATTTTATGTTTTGTTTTAAGGTTGAAGGAGCGTCTCCAAGAGTGTAATGGAGATGAGATTCTGAAAGCAGAAGCTGGTGCAAAAGTTCAAAAGTTCACTGAATGGGCACTCAAATGCATAGGTTTCCACTCCAGATGCCAAGGAGCAAGAGAAAGAGTTAGCCACAGCTCAGCTACTGAGATTGAGCTACAGCTTTCTGCTTTCAAGATGTTTCTTGATCTTGCAGGGAACCATCTCTCAGGAAGAGACTTCACTGAGGCCTTTGATGCAGCTTGTTTCCCTCTCACTTTGTTTTCAAACTCTTTTGATCCTGGTTGGGCGTCTGGAATCTCAGCTACAGTTATACAGGGACTGCTTGGTATGCTTGTTGAAGGTGGTGCTGATAATGTGAATCAATGTTTTCTTGAAGCTTCAAGGTTTGGTAGTACAGAACTTGTCCGCGTCTTGTTGCATGTAAGCTTTCAACTCATTTTTGATTGCTTTTAGATAGGGGCTGGCCAAAATATCTTAAATTATTTTAGATCTAATATCCAAAACAAAATTATCTGAAATACTAAAAAAATACTTGAAAAATAGCTAAAAGTAGACATCTAAACTATTAAAAACACTAGAAATAACCCTAGATACTTAGAGGTTCTCTATCCAAATATTTAAACCAAACTAATTTTCATGTTAAATTTAGATATTTAACAAACATATTCAAATTTATATGTTGTATATTTTAGGATTTTAAAGGATTTTAAGGTTTGATGGGATTTTTAAATTTATTTACATATGTGTTCAAAGAAAAATGTATTTACATAATTTATATGGATACACAAACCCGAACCAAAATTTATAAATATCCGAACAGGCTTAAATCTTTAACCCCGAAAACCCGAATAGAACTGAATCGAAGAATGCCCACTCCTACTTTTAGAATTGAAGATCTCTTTGTGTTCTCAAGTAGACTGTACTTCTTTTTTAAAATTCAGATTGCTCAAAGGAACAGCTTAGATGTGGATGTGGACTTAGCTCTTGGTTTCGCCTCTCATTACTGTAAACTCGGAACAATGAAGTGTTTAGTGGAAGAAGGTAATGCCATTGCCTTCTTAGGTCCTTTGATGAGAGCAGCAGAGAGAGGCTGTATGCAAGTTGTGCAATGGTTTGTGAAAAGAGGTTGTCGTGACATGGAGCTTTGTCTTGCTCTAACAGCCGCCACTTCAAGTAGCCAAGTAGAGGTCGCTGCTTATCTCCTCCCTTTTGTTCCTTCGCCTGTCTTAACAGCTCTAAGCATCGAAATCCTCAAAGCAGCTGGAGAAAGAAGTGGAGGGTCTCTCCAAGGAGTGGAGTTTCTTCTCAAATCAGACTTCTTAGGAGATCCAACGGCTACATACTCAGTTGCAGACAGTATAGCAAAGTCGTTAGAAGATGAAACCGTTCCTTCTATTCTTAAGTCGTTTCTCCGTGAGCATTGGTCGGAATCAGCTTTTGAGAAAGGAATGAGAGAAAGCTATGAGAATTTCATGAACTTTATGAGGGTGTTGAAGAGAGGAGAGTGTGATATATCTTTAAGAGACCTTCCTGCTCCACTAAGAGTAGCTATTGCATACATGCCGCTGTATAGAGAGTGTGTGAATGCGGGAGGGAGGTTACTCTCTCAGAGGTTGAGAGGACAGCTTGTGGAAGCTGTGAGACAGCTTCAAGGATGTGATGTTGCTGTTGTGGAAGTAAGCGAGACTCCTCGCCTCATGGCGGTTTTGGAGCATCACCTTACTGCCATTTTCTGTTAAACCATGGAAGACGCAAGAAGACAAGAGTTAACACAAGCCTCTCAGCAAAATGGATCTGCTTTGGACACATTTTCTACGAGTAGTTGGAAAAATAAGAATGGTGAGAAGAAATAAAAGAGTAAGATTTAAGGAATGTGGTTTGATATGATGCATGTTTTTATTTCTTTGTTTTGTATATTTTTGTTCTTCCTATATATATTTGCTTACTTGATGTAATTTCTAACTTACGTTTGTATCATGAGATCGTTATTAACTTGATGTTATGGCATTTTCAGTCTCAAAATGAGTAAATGTATAAACCATCTTCAAAATGAGTTTAAACTGTACCAGAATTGTTGCTTTTGAAGTTCTATTAACGGTTTGCCTAACCAGCAATCACAAATCATGGTTTGAACATTGAACCGAAGACAATTGATTTAGATTTGAACTCAACAATTTTAATATACTGGCTCAGAGCCAACAATATCTAAAGATCTTTCCAGGGATAACCTCTACCTAAAGAGCTGACTATTAGTCTTGCTTGTGTTATGAATTGTCAGTAATCTTGATTAGTCCCCTATAATCTCTTCTGTTATGACTTTTCTTCAGAAACCAAGTTGACTGGTTGTGCATTAAATGTAAAAAAAAAAAATACAATATTATATCTATCTTTTTCAATATAAGTGTTATTTTGATATTTTCAAAGAGATTAAGAATATTGTATAATAGACTATTTTTTTTATTTAATGCATGATTAGTTAAATGAAAACTATTTAAATAAAAATTTATTGATTATTCAAATTCGTAAAAAGTTGTATTTATTTAATATATAAAATTACATTAGAATGGTATAATGGCTCTTATTTTAAAACAAAAAAGTACGTTAAAAGTAACAATTAATATGAAACAGAGAGTAAGAGATTTACATCAAAGGGCAAGTTACATCTTTGGCCTTAGAAGAAGAAGGCATGAAGGCAAGAACGACTAGTAAAACCATAATCCCAAGCGGAATCAAAAGCAGCATAAACGGTGGCGGAGGCAATGGTGGCAGAACTAACGGAAGGATTAACAGTGATGCCGTTAAACCCACCAGTACAACCAGAGACCCTAAACTATAGTAACTCGCCGGAATCATCAACGTTTTCTGCAAGGAGAAGGTCCGGCTTAACTCATACTTGATGTTCTCCGAAGATGTTGCCGGCAGACGGTGAAGGATGACATTTTTTCCATTGTTTCTTTCTCCAACATCCATGACTATGTTGTTTGAATAACACAAATGCAAGAAGAAGAAGATGAAGAAGACCAAGACTTATTTGTATTAAGACAAAACAAGAAGTGGGTTTGGTCTGATCTTTGAATCTGTATGAAACTACTACTAGCTAATAATAATTGAAAGAGCAAATCTTCGGGACTGTTAATGAAGACTTTGCAGAGGATCAAAGAATGGGGAGAGTTTAGTGAATTAAGGGATTCTCTGAAATGTTGTAAAGAAGAAGAAGATGAGACTTTCTTTTTATAAAGGGAGCTGACAAAAAATGAGTGAGGAGCCAAGTAGCTACTTTTGGAAGGTTTGATTTTTTTGGTTTTGTTTTGTGGATTTAGTAAACAAAAGAAAATTCAACCCGTGTACGTGTGGCTTAGTCTTCTTCCACTTGATGACAAAAAAAAAAAAGTCTTCTTCCACAATCACTAGGTTCTTCTCCCCTAAGACTTCTACTCTCTACTTTATTTTTAGCATGGACATTAATAATGTAAGCAAGAATCTCTTCTGAATAGATGAAATTGAAGTTTCTATTAAAATAACGAGTTTTAATATCTTTTGAATGATATAGGTTCAAAAACTCAATATTAGCTAGTGTAATCAGAACCATTTCTTGGGATTAGCCATGTGTGAAATTCTAAAATAAAGTGTACAGCTACTTAATAACACTTACAAAATAATCAAAATGATATTACAAATAATAATTATGGTAAATAATTGCCAAATTATAGAAAGTGTTATACAGTTTGATTAATTCTTTTTATATTTATATACTACATAAAATAATTAATATAACACAAGTTATATATAGAAATCTGATTTCATATTCTTATACAAAACATAATATTTGTATATAAATTATTATAATATTTATTAATTATATATGTCTTAAGTCATTTATAAAAACTGTCTATCATGGCTTACAAAATATTTTTATCATAATTTTAAATATTTATAAGAGTTTATAAAACATTTATAAAAAATATACATCTTCCTATATATTAAATGAAAAGTCCATTAAGTGATTTTTCTTACATGTCGATCATTTGTAAAGTCTTAAGCAAATTTTTATAATTTCCTCATTTGCTAATTTTAATTTTCTTTATTTGAGTTTAGATATAAAATAAAAAAATAAATCTAGAACCAAATAATATCACATACCAACGAATCTAAATTATATCACAAACAATTATTTATGGTAACTAAATTTTAAAATTATAGAAAGAATAATAATTTCTGATCAACTCTTCTTTATATCTATAAACTACATAATACAATAAAAAAAATTTATATAATTTGTAATAATTTAATTGAGATCTAAAATAAAATACAAGTCTAAATTATTATACTTGCCAAATAACCAAAATGATATTAGAAATAATAATTTATGGTACCTAATTCTCAAAACTAAAGAAAGTATAATTATGTTTGATCAATTCTTTTTATATTTATATATTACATAAATAATGGATAGAAAACAATTTGTAGAAATCAATTTAATGATTTCATATAATATGAAAATATAGTCGTATCTATAATAATTATTATTCTCTTATAATGGCCATTTATGCTTTATAAATAATTAGGCTTTGAAGGTTAGACGAATTATATTTAACGGAACATTAAGAACTTTGATTTAATATTTCTTTTTGCATTTAAGTCAAATTACGTAATGAATAAGGTAATGTTGTGATTGAAAATAATTCTAAGATGGATTTAGCGTTTATGGATTGTATGATTTGTATTACTATTTAGATAGAGAAATAAATAGTTGGAAAAATATGTAAAAATTTAGGAAAACATTAGCAAAAATTTAATAAAAAGAACAAAATGATAATGAAAAAATAAGAAGAGATGAAGGAAGAAGATACATGATATGGGTTGGAGAAGTGAATGTGATAGTTACATATATAATTTCACAAGCATTTGTTATTATTAAATATCCATCCGTTATTTTACATCAAATTTATGGAAACTTTACGACTAAGAATAATTTTGCGTGAAATTAAGGGAGCTTATTGTGAGGTGGATTTCTAAAGATTAAAATTTTCAAAATCTTTTGTTATTGGCTAGCGGATTCTTAATTTCACAGTAAAATTCATTGTTATTGGTTCACTGATCATGAGTTTATTATTCATTTGATAAAATTCATAAAAAATAATATTTTTAGTGACTTAAATTAATATTATTGAATTATCACTAAATTTCATGCTACTAAAAACAATAATGAGATTTTAGATTTTCAAACTATTTGAAGTTAAAAATTATATTTCAAACTTTTTTAATCATTATTCAAAATATATGACATTGTATATATAATATATAAGTTCATACAATATTTCTATTCACGAATTCGCGGGCACCACCTAGTATATATAAAGTAAAGTGTTCAATAGTTAAAACCCGTTTGAGTTTGGTTGTCAGTGATGGACAAGTGTTCAATAACCAATGACGGAAAGTGATTTGTTCAATAGTCAAAACCCGTTTGCGTTGGGCTCACTTTTTGTGCAATTTTGTTTTGAGTTTGGCTCAGTTTGATTCTTGTTAAGTTGGTTCTTCTTCTTGCTTATATGTGCCATATTCTCACTGGTTTATTATTATTAACATGGTGAGTAATTTTGATCTTTCGATTGCATCTGTTTAAATGGTGAATAATTTTGATTTCAGATATGGTATATTGCTTAGCCTCTCATCATCAGCTTGCTATAAGCGGAGAATAGGCCAGAAACGCCATTATGTTCACCGATAGAAAGAAAGATCCATAAATCTTTGAGATTTGTAGGAATGTTGTTCGTTCGAAGAGGCTAGGGAAACATTGTGGTTTCCCTCACGTAACTGCAAGTGATCTTTCGCAGCCACCGTGAGACCTCGGGGACATAGTCTTTTACAGGGATCTTGCAGACAATGAAACCAATAGATCTTGTTTTTTTATCTCTGAAAAAGATCCTGAGGGCTTTGGAAGCATGTAGCAAAAGGTTAGCCCTCTCACAAGCCTTATAGGTGAGTGCGTTCTCATAAGTACATGCTACATTCGGATGTAATCCGTGAGAGTGGCTCCTTTCGCTTGAAGAAGATAACGGGTGGTGAGCGTGGCGGTGAGCGTTTCAACAAAGCTGTCTACTGACTAAGCTTTCAGGATAATATCAAGGTAGATGTTGAACGTGAAGTTATTGCAGTATCATCCGAGAGGAAGCCTGTCAAACGTCAACATATAGTGAGTACGGACACTCACCACCTTCCAAACGTCATCATATGGTGGGTACATACACTCACCACCTGCCAAAGGTGCTTCAGATTACCCTTGTTGCAATTGCACTTAACACTAGTGACCAACATCTCTATCAACCCGCCTTGGATATTGTTATGAGAATGAAGGTAAATTTGTTTTTATCAGACTTTGTTCCAACATGTCTGACTGAAGCTGACATTTCTTTATTTTAAAATGGTTGGCTAGCTCTATGATGTGGAATTTCTTGCATGTTTTGAAGGAAATTCTCCATACAGTTATCCTCTCTATGGGTTGGGAGAACTACCTCAGGTTTTTTGTCTATCATTCTAATCTTGGCATTGGTTGCTTTAATTTTACATGATAAATTAAAAGAGTAATCACATTCAAACAGATTAGGAAGATTGGCAGAGTTGCTCAGGGCATTGCAATTATGAGTCACCCTACTCTAAACGCCAATGACTCTCATTCAGTAAAGGTCATCATTCCCCAGAAGCAGTTGACCCACAACTCAGACATGTAAGTTCCTTTGTGTTACATCTGGATGTGTCTTAAATCTCTGTGCCTCAGTAAAAACCCAGCATTCGTCGTAGGTGCTATTAAGGTTGACATCTGGGGGAGTGAGGTATGTCTTTTCGGTTTAGGAAAATTTACTTTCTATAGATAAGTATATATTCTTATAGAGAAAAGAGAATCGAGTTTTGAGGCTACTATAAATATGGGTCTAAGAAATTATAAAGTTATTCATTCACACAATAATATAGAAACCATAAAAAAAAGTATTTGCCTCAATTAGTTTTGCTCTCTTCATTTTTTCTTCAAGTTGATTCGCGTTTGTTTCACAATACTTTGTTTCTGTGTTTTTTTTTTGCAATGATCTATGGATGGTAAGCTCCATTATCATATTGACATGTCTTTAACTTGCTATAAGATTTTCGTTGGTACACATAGCTTGAAAATTAAAACAATATTATCTCTGGTCCTGGAACCCTCTTTAGACCACAACTTCATTGCTCCCCACACACAGACAAACATGAAAAATACGATGATGATGTTTGTTTTTGCCATTAGCTATCCTTCTCTTTATCTTTTTTTTTTCAATCGTTTTGTTTGTCTGATGTTCTGAGACCTCTTTACACATTAAGGTATTTCTTCTGTTGTTCCTACTCTCACAACGTGGCTCCAAAGGGAAAGTTCATCGCATTTGTGCCGACAGATGCAGAGACTGATAACTTAACCATATTCTTGAACACTGGTAAAACTAGTCCATCTTCTTCAACTTCAACACATTGAGCAATCACCTGAAACACACACACACATATATATATGCTTTCAAGAACTGTCCAAAAGCTCTTTCTCAAGTGAAAACACACAAAAAAAAAGAAGACTTACATCAGCAGAAGCGGCAGAAAGATGGAGTATCTCAACCTTGCTTACCCCTATAATGAGACCCCTTAGATCCATATCTTTGATCCATTTAGAATAACGAATATCTAGCCTAGCTTCTACAAGGGAAGCCAAGTTCACATCTCTGTAGTATTCTAACGCATAATCTCTGTAGCTGAGATACACAAGGCTTGGGGTGTGAAATGACATTGCATCCCTTAAAAGCTCAAAGTCATAATAAACTGTTAGCTTCTTGATGTTCGGACTACTCCATATTGGTTTACTCTGTTTCTCCATATTGGTTTACTCTGTTTTCTCCATATGCTTACTCTGTTTTCTCCATATTGGTTTACTCTGTTTCTTACAAGCGGTCAAAGTGTCATTCTTTTGATGAAACTGTTGTAGTTTTGAGCCCACTTCATGTTTTAAGGGACTTTTAAAGAGGAGACTGGTTCTATCTTTATGGAAGCCAACAAGTTTACTCTGTTGTGCATATAGACCTCTGGCGCTTATAAGCGCTCAAAGTTTCATTCTTTTGATCTTCCACTCAATTATAGATAGCTTGAGTTTTGATGAAACTGCCACTTGTCTTGCCCGAGCTCGAATCCATCATGCTTTTAATTCAGAACCTTCATCTTCTCTGGCCTTTGTTCTTTCCTCTTACTTTGACCTCACTTCATGTTTCAGGCAGAAGAGGCTGGGTTCTGTCTGTATGGAAGCCATCACTGGCTTTAGAGACGCAATAACCTGGCTTCCTGACGAGGTTTTGGGCAAGATCTTGTCTTTACTTCCCACAAAACAAGCTGCTTCAACATCTCTTCTTGCTAAAAAGTGGAGGCATGTGTTTAGATTAGTACATAATCTTGATTTTGATGATTCTGTTTTGCTGCAACGTGAAGAGGGTAAAGAAGAGTGGCCTATGATCCGGGAGAGCTTCAGAAACTTTGTGGACAGAACACTCGCTTTGCAATTCGGTTCTCCTATCAATAACTTCTCTCTGAAGTTTCACGTTCACGAGACCAAGGAGATGGCTCATGTGTTCTCCAAATGCGTCTCTTCCAGCGCTCAAGAGTCTCTTCATAGACTCTATTGTTTTTGAAGGTCACGATATGTGTGATGTGCTTCTACGTGGTTGTCCAGTGCTGGAGGAGTTATTTGTACGTCACGAGAATTGTGAAGCAACCTCATACTGTATATGTAGTCCCAACATCAAGAAGCTATCAGTTTATTATGACTTTTAAGGGGTTCAATGTCATTTCACACCCCAAGCCTTGTGTATCTCAGCTACAGAGATTATGCGTTAGAATACTACAGAGATTTGAACTTGGCTTCCCTTGTGGAAGCTAGGCTAGATATTTATTATTCTAAATGGATCAAAGATCCGGATCTAAGGGGTCTCATTATAGGAGTAAGCAACGTTGAGATCCTGCATCTTTCTCCCGCTTCTGCTTTTGACAGTTGTTGAAAGCATTTATGTGTTTCAGGTGATTGCTAGATGTGTTGAAGTTGAAGAAGATGGACTAGTTTTACCAGTGTTCAAGAATCTGGTTAAGTTAACTTTTGGGAGTTACAAAAAACGAGGCTGGAAACTGCTGCCGTATTTGATTAAGCAGTCTCCAAAGCTTGAAACTCTAATCATCCAGGTATATTTTAAATAAGCAAAAAAAAAAAAAACACTCTGAAAGGAGGACTTAGTGGTTGATCCTATAACATACAACTTTCTTGATTTGATGCTTCTCCAGGGTCTAGATGGTTGTGCTGGCGATGTTACCATTCGTCCCTTCCAAGTGAAGATGTTGCATGATCTTGGTTATGGAGGAACTGCTAAAGTGTTGGAAGAACACTTGAAGAGTTTTCTTGAATGATGCCATAAGATTTAATTATATTCACCAATAAGGATCTAGTGAATGTTATTACCTCAAACTTAACAACATATATTTTGATTTATGCGCTTAAAATGAAAAGATAGACATGTATATCAAACCAAATCTGATTCAGTCGGCATAAGGTCATTAGTTGCAAAAACAATATATAGTTTGGCTAAACATGAAGATATGTGAAATGGTGGTTGTCCCAACCCAGGTCAATCAGGTAACACTAAAGACTGTCCTTATCAATCATATGTGGCTTGAAGTGGTCCAGCTTGGCTCACATCATTCATCGTGTTAGAAGAAGCTTCAGGGTAGTCATTCTCAACATGGATGTCTTCAGTAGTTCCTTTCTGTTTCTGCTGAAAATACAGTGAGTAACTTTTTAAGTCTAGTAATGTTGGAACTTTTCAACAATTAAACGTAACAAAAACTACAGTATTTACCTTCTTGGGCAGTTGAGAAGTCTCACCCACGTTCAGTTTGCGCTTAGAGGAGGTCTCTGCCTCTGTAGTCACAACAGTAACTTTACCTTCCTCCTCAGACTCTACCTGTAACATTGATATAGATGAGTACACATACTGTTAGGTCCCAAAGACTTGAGAAACAAGAACACAAAATTTACTGCAATTTTCTTTTCATAACTCATCCCAAATACATCAACATCTATATATACATGAAAGACCAAGTAACTACCCTACTACCCCATTACCATTCCATTACACGTTAGAAACTTCCACCCATATAGGAGCAACACTAATACACGTGTATCTCTAAACCTAATATTGGTTTACTCTCATCACATACATAGTCACTACAAATAAAAATCTCAGAAAGAGAAACATACCTTACGCTCAGCCGCCAGAAACTCCATCCAGTAAAGAGCCAAGCTGAAACGCCCCCCTGTAATCTTACTTAACAGAAAACGACCAACAGGAGACACGTGGGCCCTTTGCAAGACGTACTTTTCACAGGAGATTCCAGGAGAAACCTCTCTGGAAACCCCACTTGATCTCCAAGTAGTTTCAAAACCCTCAGGGTTCTTTTCACAGAAGAAAACCCATGATCTCTGTGTTTCTTCCATCTCAAGCTCCCTGTTGAAGACAAAACCACCCAGTTCCAACGGATTCATGCAAAGATGGTTAGGATCGACGTGAGGAATACCGCATCTTTCCCCTCCATACTTGGACCATAGAATCTTGCTAGAAATCTCGTAGACTTCTTGATCTTTCATCCCATCAACAATAACGATGGCGTTCTTGCCTTCTTCGCCGTGTATAGCTAGCTCGGAGTGGGAGGTTGAGCAGTAGGATTGATAAGCTTTCTCGCAATGCCATAGGTGGCATTGCATACTTTTTCTTTGAGGAGCAAAAACCACGAAAGTGCCCTGTGAAAATAGTATATTCTCGAGAAGTCAATATCAAAGAATCTTGATCCTAGAGAAGTTAAAGAAGCAAGAAAAGAGTTAATAACCATTGAAGTAGACGCGAGTGAAGCGGAAGCGGAAGCTACGCGAGAGAAGTGACTCGAGAGATGCGAGTGATATGGGAAAAGACTGGGACTGCGCACGACCTATATTTAATCTTGTTTATTCTTTTGTTTCCAAAGAAGTTAATGAAATATAGGGCGTTAGTATTTGTTTAAGCGGTGATTGGTTATTAAGTTTCATTTTTAGTGAAAATAGACAACATTTTAATGATAAACAAGATGAATGAAGAAAGCTTCTTTCCCAAGAAACTTTTTCAGATTTTAATGAACTTAACATTTTATTTAAATAAAATTGTTGTTAAAAAAAAGAACGACTAAACCTAACTAAAAAGAGTGAATTAAAACCAAGTTTAGTATGACATAAATATCTGAAACTGTCTACTTCTAAGGCCTTTTGATTAGATTTTATCCAAACCTTTGACAAAAAAAAAGATTTTATCCAAACTATATATGAATTTGAAAGAAAAAAATTTAAACAAAAAATAAAATAAAAAACTCAAAATAATAAGAGAATTTAACTAGGATAGAAAATTTTTATCACAAATATAGACTTTAAAAATAAAAATAATCAAAATAGATTCAAATGTTTTATCAAAAATAAACAAATATATATTTATATCATTTGGTTAATTAATCATAGACTTTTTGGTTTAGAGTTGAAGAGTAGGGTTTAGGGAATAGGATTTTAAATTTTTTTTTTAAAGAAAAAAATTTAAAATTTCTAAATAAAATATGAGATATCGGTTGAAACAACTCCAACAAGGGTAAAAAGATCCCTACGGGTTTGATTAATTGTGGCAGAATCGACCACAACATCTTCAGGGAACTCCACTCGCATTCTTGGGATGCATTCAGTTCCCGCAAGCAAACTCTTCAAGTGTTGAAGCTCTTTATCAGTTCCTCTATAACCAACAACATGCAGCTTCTTGACTTGGAACAAACCAATGGTAACATCGCCTGTGTAACTATCCAGACCCTGTGGAAGCATCAAAAAGAAGTTGCATGCAACGACGACTAAGTACGTGTCTCTTCAGATAATATAAGTGTTTTGCTTAGTAAAAAATATACCTGAATGATTAGTGTTTCAACCTTTGGAGACTGCTTAAGCAGATATGGCAGCAGTTTCCAACCTCGTTGGTCGTAACTCCCAAAAGATAACTTAACCAGATTCTTAAACACTGGTAAAACTAGTCCATGTTCAACTTCAACACATCTAGCAATCACCTGAAACACACACACACACTTTCAAGAACTGTCCAAAAGCTCATTCTCAAGTGAAAAAAACACACACACACACAAAGAAACTTACATCAGCAGAAGCGGGAGAAAGATGCAGGATCTCAACGTTGCTTATCCCTATAACGAGACCCGACAGATCCGGATCTTTGATCGCTTTAGTGTAATAAATATCTAGCCTAGCTTCCACTAGAGAAGCAAAGTTCACATCTCTGTACTCATCTAACGCATAATCGCTGTAGCTGAGATACACAAGATTTGGTGTGTCAAATAACATACCATCCCTTGCAAACTGAAACTCAAAGCAAACCGATAGCTTCTTGATGTTCGGATTACATATGTAGAATAGGGCTCCTTCACACTTGCGGTGACGTACATATAACTCCTCCAGCAAAGGACATCCACGTAGAAGCACACCACACAGATCATCACCTACAAAAACAATAGTGTCGATGAAGAGACTCTTGAGCGCTGGAAGAGACACATTTGGAGGAAACTCCCCAAGATAAATTTCTGTTCCCAGTGTCAGCTTAACCAGCGTCTTGCTCGTTAAGAGCTCGGAGGGTAGAGAAAGGTTTTTATTCTTCTTTTTAAAACTTAATCTCATCTCCAAAACACCACGCTCTAGGGCATTGCATATCCAAGCAAACACATGAGCCATCTCCCTGTTCTCGTGAATGTGAAGCTTCAGGGAGAAGTTATTGATAGGAGAACCGCATTGCAAAGCGAGTGTTCTGTCCACAAAGTTTCTGAAGCTCTCCCGGATCATAGGCCACTCTTCTTTACCCTCTTCACGTTGCAGCAAATCAGAATCATCGAAATCGAGAGTGTGCACTAATCTAAACACATGCCTCCACTTTTTAGCAAGAAGAGATGTTGAAGCAGCTTGTTTTGTGGGAAGTAAAGATAAGATCTTGCCCAGAACCTCGTCGGGAAGCCAGGTTATTCCGTCTCTCAAGCCCATGTTTAGCTTGTTGGAATCCATTGAGACAGAACCAATCTCTTCCTTAAAAAGTGTCTGAAAGATGATGAAAGTGATATGAGCACACAACTACAGCAATAAAGTTGAATTAACAAAAGTTAAGTAGTGGTAAGACTACAAACAGTTTCATCACACTCAATCCATCTATAATCTAGTGGAATCTCAAAATAATGACACTTTGAGCACTTGTAAGAACAGAGTAAACCATATGGACCAAACATAGTAAATAACCATGTTGAGAGAACAGAGTAAAGCAGAAGGAGAGAGCAGAGGAAACCATAACAGAGAGAAAAGCTTAACCTCTGCTGGGTTACCGCGGTTACCTTTATTGCATGCGTTACTACGAGTCATATGAAACTAAGGCTAAAGGACGAACACACACTTATAGGAGTTTCCAGTTCAGATTTTAGGGGTTTACCTATGCTGGGTTTTCGGAATTTATATTATTAAAATTTGCCATATTTTGAGATAATATTATGAATTAATTATTCACTTATTATACCATATGTTATATGAAATATTTACATTTTTTTCAATTTTACATTTTCTTTTAAATAATGTGCACTGGCTCAATCATCATATTTTGTTTTTTCATAGACTTCTGACGAATTGCCATTTTCTTGTCTTTTACGTTGTGCAGAATGATGAATGTTCTATTATGAGAAATCAACATATCCAGCACCAAAAGAAGAGTCACGTTATGCTCTTTTCCTGTTGGTAGATCGGCGTATAGGGATCATATTATAGAGTTTTAGTGTGTGTGTGTGCATGCAAACCCTAATTCACAGAACGAATCAAAGTTTTGTTTATATTCGAATACATTTTGCAGGCAAAAGAAAAGAAGAGCTTGGGTGTTAGAACTAGAAGAGAACGATTACTAACAAAGACTATGGACTCAAGATTCTTTAAACGCAAGCTTCACATGTACAAAAAGATCCTCTGTTTTTACTCAATCTTGCTTGAGAGTCAAGAAAAGGTTCATATTCACTAAAATCAAAACAAGAAAGCAATATTCACACGTACAAAAGATCCTCTGTTTTTACTCAATCTTGCTTGAGAGTCAAGAAAGGTTCATATTCACGAAAAATCAAAACAAGAAAGCTATGTTCATCTCATAAAGATCTAAAGATTCGAAAAGAAACACTAGCTAGGGTTTAGATTAACCCTCTCGTTCAGTCAAAAGCCCACGCATTCTCCTTGAGAACCTCTGCTTCCTCCTCTTTCGTAAAGTCATTCACGAGGCCGAACTTTTCGCGAATCTCCTTCTCGTCTTTGCATGCTGCGATCTCATCAGCGACTCTCTGGCAACTGAGATCAAGAAGACTTTTGATGTCCAAGTAGTTCGCAGCCGTGATGAGATCATAGACCGTAGACAGCTCCATCTTCGTGATGAACTCAGCGTCCCACTTCTTGAGATCATCATCACCGGAGGAGGAGGAAGAATCGTCACCGTGGACGACAACGACGTGTTTCTTGCAGTATTCAACCACCTTTCCGAGGATTTCGCCTCTGACGTTTTCAATCTTGTGTTCACGAGAGGGGCAATCTTCAACAAGATTCGACAAGAACTGAGACTGAAGTAGCACCGCTTCTTCTACTTCAATCGTTAAACCGTCGGAGCTCTTCAACACGAACTTCTCCATCGTCTTGGTGATTTTCTCGTGAGAAACTGAGAGAGAGAGCGAAAGAATAGTAAAGGTGGGTGAATGAAGTTATGAGCCCACACGCATGCATCTTGGTGTATTTATAGGCGTTTAGTAAAAATGCACATCTTTTTTTTTTTTTTTTTTTTTTTTAACGTCTGAGTTGATTGGTGAAGATTAAATGAGGTAGCACCTCAACCAAGGGTCAACCTTGTAATACAAGGTAATGAAAAAACACTAAGCGCAGCAACAAGAAGTTAAATTAGAAAAAAAGATGAAAAAAGAAGTGTCAAATTTTTATGAATCTATTCAATTATATTTTATGTTTTATATCATTGGATTACATAAGTTTTCTGAAACATTCTTCAAATAAATTTTATTAACTAAACCAAAAATTGGCTGAGAAAACCTAACCGAAATTCATTGACAGAAAATTAGTTATGCACTAAATGAGTTACTGTTTCGATCCCTAATGAGTTATTCCGATACAGAACAAGAGTTGAGAGTACAAGAATCAAGAGATGGAGCATTTGGTATCAAAATTAGCAAGAGAGCGTAGGAGAATGATCATTGACACAAGATGACTCGAATATGCTTCTAATGTATAAAAACCTTCTCTACATATGTACATAACTCAACCATCATCCTCTGTTTTTACAGAGTTTTGAATTGCCTTTAGTTTCTTGTCTCTTACGTTTTGCATATTGATGAATGTTCTATGAGAGAGGCGTCAACTTATCCAGCACCTAAATAAGAGTCATGTCATGTTAGTGAAAACAATTATTGTTCCGTAGGTATAGATTCAGTTGCAGCTGTAAAAGCGATGTTTACAGATCCTATCATAGAGTTTGAGTTTGTACCTATAAACCCTAATTCACATAACGAATCAAAGTTTTCTAAATCCCCAATATATTTTGCATGCAAAATAGATGGAGAGTTTGGTGCATAAAACTAATTAGCAAGAGAGAGTTAGTAGGGAAACGACCATTGGGAGAAGAAGATATATAATGGAATCAAGAATCTCAAAACGCAAAGCTTCAAATGTACAAAACTTCTTCTAGATATATACAAAGTTTATCATCATCCTCTGTTTTCACTCAATCTTGCTTAAGAGTCAAGAAAGGGTTCATATTCACCAAAACAAAACAAGAAAGCCATGTTCATCTCATAACCGATCATAAAGATTCCAAAAGAAACACTAGCTAGCTAGGGTTTCGATCACTCAATCAAAAGCCCACTCGTTCTCCCTGTGAACCTCTGCTTCCTCCTCTGCCGTAAAGTCATTCTCGATGCCGAACTTTGCGCGAATCTCCTTCTCGTCTTTGCATGCTGCGATCACGTCAGCGACTCTCTCGCACATGAGATCAAGAAGACCTTTTATGTTTAGGTAATTCGCAGCCGTGATGAGATCACAGGCCGTGGACAGATCCATCTCCTTGATGAACTTATCGTCCCACTTCTTGAGATCATCACCGGAGGAAGAGGAAGAAGAAGAATCACCACCGTCGACGTGCTTCTCGCAGTATTCGACCACCTTCGCGAGAATCTTGCCTGTGACTTCCTTAATCTTGTATTCAGGAGAGGTGCAATCTTCAACAACATGCGACAAGAGCTGAGACTGAAGTACGACCGCTTCTTCAACTTCAAAGGATACATCGTCGGAGCTCTTCAACGTGATCATCTTCTTCTCATTCTCCATCGGTAATTTTCTCGTGAAAAGATTAGAGAGAGGATGAAAGAAACTGATCAGAGAGCGTATGAATAGAAAAGGTGGTGAATGAAGTTATGAGCCCCATGCAAGTGTATTTATAGGCGTTTAGTAGAAGTACACATCTAGTTATGAGCCCATTCTTCAAATAAATTTATTAATTAAAACCAAAAATAACTTAGAAACCTAATCGAAATTCATGGAACATACACATTAGCACCAAAGGAGTTACTATTTAATTAGATCCTAAAGAATTGGTACCATTATCATCATCATCATCATAATGATAGATATATCTTTACCATCATAATCATATCAACGTTTGAATAATATATGAAGAATAAATTTGTTTGGGTTCCTAGATTTAAAATAGGAAAAATACACAATTATTATTTCACTAATTACTTTTGGAGATATTTCATTACATTTTTTTTGTTTAATTTTAGAGATATCTCAGACTCATGAAGAAGTTCAGACTAATCCCCAAAATAGTGATATTCAAATGGGTACTTCAAACTAATCCCCAAAAGAGTGATATTCAAATGGGCCGTAAGATCCATATCTGCATGGTTACAAGCTACGATGTAGTGGGGTGTCTTTGAACCCATATTACTTAGCAAATTCCAAAATTCGCCTACCACTAAACCACCACGTTATGGTTTATTTCATTACATGCATCTTTCCAATGAAAATGATAGCTATATAAATTTGGTAGTTTCTAAAACTCCAAAAATAAAAGTTCAAATAAAGAAAAACTCCAAACCATGAAAATACAACCTAGATCCAATTAACCATAACACAAACAAATTAACTACCCTAAGAATTAGATATCAAGTGAAAGTATTTGTTGATTGTCATTTAAACTAATCGATCATCAACACTAGGATGATCAATATGCATAGATGTCAATCAACAAACACATTCAAGGGTTGCGAAATAGAGTAATCAACGCATAGTTTTCATGGAAGTTATAGATGTATAAAAACTAGTTTGGGAATGTGAAAGTACAGACAAGAACATGTATACAAACAAGAATATTATTTGGAAATTCTTAAGCATATGTTTTGGATGAAACCCTTTCTTCGAGAGAGAAGAGAGTCAGTCTCTTTATAAAACTTTACACAAAAAAAATTAGAGCAAATTTATATAAGGTCTATTCGAAATAATAGATATAGTCTGGAACAACTCCAAAAATGGTAAAAAAATCCCAACTGGTTTGATTAAATGTGGCATCATCGACCACAACATCTTCATGAAACTCCAGTCTCACTTTTGGAATGGATTCAGTTCCCGCAAGCAAACTCTTCAAGTGTTGAAGCTCTTTAGCACTTCCTTTATAACGAACAACATCCAACACCTTCACTTGGAACAGACCAATGGTAACATCGCCTGTGTAACAATCCAGACCCTGTGGGGAGCATCAAAAAGAAGATGCATGCAACCACTAAGTACAAGTCTCTATAGATAATTATAACAGAATGTTTTGTTGCTTAGTAAAAAAATATACCTGGATGATTAGTGTTTCAAGCTTTGGAGACTGCTTAAGCAGATACGGTAGCAGTTTCCAACCTCGTTTGTTCTTACTCCCAAAAGATAAGCTAACGAGATTGTTAAACACCGGTAAAACTAGTCCATGTTTAACACATCGAGAAATCACCTGAAAGCACCCACACAAATGCATCAAGAATGTCCTAACAAGTAAAACAATAAAACACAGAGAGAAGACTTGCATCAGCAGAATCGGGAGAAAGATGGAGAGTCTGCACGTTGCTTATCCCTACAAGGAGACCCGATAAATCAGGCCTCTTGATCCTTTCTTTACAATAAGAAAGGTCCAGCTTAGCTTCGAGTAAGGATGACCCAAAGTTAACAAGAGGGTAGGCAGACAAGGCAAAGTCAGTGTAGTCTAGAGAGACAAGACTTGGGGTGTCAAATGACATATGATCAATCCCCTCATCATAATCATAGAAAACTATTAGCTTCTTGATGCTCTGACTCGATATCCTGTTAGGGTTGAAATAAGTCTGGTGAACAAAAGTTAACTCCTCAAGCACTGGACAACCAGGAAGAAGCACATCACAAAGATCTTGGCCGTCAAACACAATGGTATCTAGGAACAGACTCTTGAGCGCTGGAAGATAGACATCCAGAGCCGGAGGAAGCTTCCCAATATTAGTATCTTTTCCCAGATACAGCTTAACCAGTGTCTGGCTCCTGAAGAGGTCTTTAGGAAGAAGGCAGACCCCGTGAACCTCATCATTAGCTATGAGGCCTTCCCAACGAGGCCTCAAAGTAAAGTCCACTTCCAAAACACCACGGGCGACCACACTGCTTATCCAGCGACGCACATCAACCACATCCCTGTTGTTGGTATAGAGATATGATATAGTGAATTTCTGAAGCTCTCCTTGATTCTATCACGCCCTTCTTTACCCTCTTCCGGCGGTTGCAGCAAGACGGAATCGTCTAAATCAAGATTGTCAGCCAGTGCAAAGAGGTACCTCCACTTTTTCGAGAGAAGAGAGGTTGAAGCAGCAAGTTTGGTCGGAAGTAAGGACAAGATCTTTCCCAGAACCTCTTCAGGGAGACAGCTGAGTGCATCTCCTCTCGAGCCCATGTCTAGCTTGTTTGAATACATTCCAGTCTCTTCCTTAAAACAGACACTGGTGGGAATGGGAGTCTCCAGTTCAGAGTTTAGGGGTTTATTTCTGTTGCGTTGTGCTGCATTTATATTATAAAACATTGACATATTTAGACAAAATAATTATGAATCATATTCATTTATTAAACCATATTTTATATGAAATATTTACATTTTTTTCCCAATTTTACATTTTTATTAAATTATGTGCACAGTTTAATCATCATCATACTTAGTTTTTTTTATTTCCGAGAACTCCACTCGCACTTTGTCGTTGCACTCAATTCCTCCGTCAACATCTCACAGTTCCGTTCCTTATTGGCCTTTCCTGACATCTTTTATGGGTCGGGTTTGGGCTTTATAATGCTACTTAACTATTCACCTAGTTAAACCCTGAAACAGAGTAACATATTTGGAGCAAGCAATGGTCTTTTTGAGCGAAGAAGTGTAGTCTGATTCGGTCACAAGCAATCTAAGCTTTGTCCAATGGTATTTTTTACATCTTTTGTTGGAAACTAATATGTCAAAGACTCAAAAGGTTTGTAATTTAGTTTAGATTTGGGTTCAAGTATTTGCTTATATAACTTGAGAAGTAGTAAAAAGAAGTTGTTTTTTAAACATGATATGGAGCATTTTGGTATCATAACTAGCAAGAGTGAGTAGAAGAGAAGGATCATTGCCATAATACTGTGAACTCATAAGTCTCCTCCTAGTGTATAAAACCTTCTTCTGATCAATATGTACACAATTCAACCATAATCCTCTGTTTTTTATAGAGTTTTCAAAATGCCTTGTTGTCTTTTTACGTTTTGCAGATTGATGAATGTCTATGAAGAGACAACTTATCCAGAACTAAATCATAGAGTTTGAGTTTGTACCTATAAACCCTAATTCACAGAACGAATCAAAGTTTTCTAAGTATATATATGGCAGGCAAAATAAATGGAGAGCTTGGATCTAGAAGAGAACGATCACTGACAAAGACTATGGACTCAAGAATCTTTAAACATACACAAAAGATCCTCTGTTCTTACTCAGTCTTGCTTGAGAGTCAAGAAAGGGTTCATATTCACTAAAATCAAAACAAGAAAGCAATATTCACACGTACAAAAGATCCTCTGTTTCTACTCAATCTTGCTTGAGAGTCAAGAAAGGTTCATATTCACGAAAAATCAAAACAAGAAAGCAATGTTCATCTCATAAAGATCTAAAGATTCGAAAAGAAACACTAGCTAGGGTTTAGATTAACCCTCTCGTTCAGTCAAAAGCCATTCTCCTTGAGAACCTCTGCTTCCTCCTCTTCCGTAAAGTCACTCTCGATGCCGAGCTTTGCGCGAATCTCCTTGTGGTCTTTGCACGCTGCGATCTCATCAGCGACTCTCTGACAAGTGAGATCCAAAAGACCTTTGACGTCCAAGTAGTTCGCAGCCTTGATGAGATCATAGACCGTAGACAGCTCCATCTGCGTGATGAACTCAGCGTCCCACTTCTTGAGATCATCATCACCGGAGGAGGAGGAAGAATCGCCACCGTGGACAACAACGACGTGTTTCTTGCAGTATTCAACCACCTTCCCGAGGATTTTGCCTGTGACTTGGACCGGGTATACACGACCGGCGCAATCTTGAAAAACAGACGACAAGAACTGAAACTGAAGTACGACCGCTTCTTCGACTTCGAAGGATACATCGTCGGAGCTCTTCAACGTGATCATCTTCTTCTCATTCTCCATCGTCGTTCTTTCGTGAAAAGATTAGAGGGAGGATGAAAGAAACTGATGAGAGAGCGAATGAATAGAGAAGGTGGTGAATGAAGTTATGAGAGCCCCATGCAAGTGTATTTATAGGCGTTTAGTAGAAGTACACATCTAGTTATGAGCTCATTCTTCAAATAAATTTATTAATTAAAAAAAAAAAATTGAATGAGAAACCTAACCGAAATTCATGGAACATACACATTAGCACCAAAGGAGTTACTATTTAATTAGATCCTAAGAATTGGTACCATTATCATCATCATCATCACAATGATAGATATTTCTTTATATACCATCATAATCATATTAACGTTTGAATTATAATATTTGAAGTATATATTTTTGATTGAACTTCTTTTGTTTGGATTCCCAAATTTAAAATAGGAAAAATAAACAATTATTATTTCACTAATTACTTTTGGAGATATTTCATTACATCTTCGGATCTTCCCAATGGAAATGATAAAGCTACATAAATTTTGTAGTGTCTAAAACTCCAAGAAAAAAAGCTCAAGCAAAGAAAAACTCCAAACCATGGAAATAAATATCAAGTGAAACTTTAAAAATCTGAGAATACCGGAATAGATGTCACGAGCTCTACTGATAAAGACACAACATTAACGTAACAAATTTGAAACTTCTATAATTATATTTTCTATATAATTTAAATTTAAAAGATTAATGGGTTTTAAGTATATTATGAAAATTGCTATATTTAGATAATACTATGAATCAATTAGGTTCACTTATTAAACCATATGTTATATGAAATACTTACATTTTTCCAATTTTAGTTTTTCTTTTAGATAATGTGCACTGGTTCAATCATCATACTTTGTTTTCATAGACTTCTGACGAATTGCCATTTTCTTGTCTTTTACGTTGTGCAGAATGATGAATGTTCTATTATGAGAAATCACCATATCCAGCACCAAAAGAAAGATTCACGTTATGCTCTTGTTCTGTTGGTAGATATTTAGTTGCAGCTGCAAAATTGACGTCTAGAGATCATATTATAGAGTTTTGAGTTTGTGCATACAAACCCTAATCCACAGAACGAATCAAAGTTTTGTTTATATTCGAATACATATTGCAGGCAAAAGAAAAGGAGAGCTTGGGTGTTAGAACTAGAAGAAAACAATCACTGACAAAGACTATATTCTTTAAACGCAAGCTCACATGTACAAACGATCCTCTGTTTTCACCTAATCTTGCTTGAGAGTCAAGAAAGGTTCATATTCACTAAAATCAAAACAAGAAAGCAATATTCACATGTACAAAAGATCCTCTGTTTCTACTCAATCTTGCTTGAGAGTCAAGAAAAGGTTCATATTCACTAAAATCAAAACAAGAAAGCAATGTTCATCTCATAACAAACCTAAAGATTCGAAAAGAAGAACCAGCTAGGGTTTAGATTAACCCGATCATGCGTTCTCCTTGAGAACATCTGCTTCCTCCTCTGCCGTAAAGTCACTCTCGATGCCGAACTTTGCGCGAATCTCCTTATGGTCTTTGCATGCTGCGATCTCATCAGCGACTCTCTGGCAAGTGAGATCAAAAAGACCCTTGATGTCTAGGTAGTTAGCAGCCATGAGGAGATCAAAGACCATGGGCAGATCCATCTGCGTGATGAACTCAGCGTCCCACTTCTTGAGAGCATCATCACCAGAGGAGGAGGAAGAAGAATCGCCACCGTGGACGACAACGACGTGGTTCTTGCAGTATTCAACCACCTTCGCGAGGATTTCACCTGTGACGTTCTTGATCGGGTATACACGACCGGCGCAATCTTGAACAATACGCGACAGTATCACTGACTGAAGCACGACTGATTCGTCTACCTCGAAGAAGATACCGTCGGAACTCTCTAACGTGATCATCTTCTTTGACATCGTTCTTTCTTTGCTGCGTGGCTGTTTTCTCGTAAGAAGAGTCAGAGGGAAGATGAGAGAGTTGAGAGAGAGTGAATGAATGGTAAAGCTGTGAGCTTATGCATGTTGGTGTATTTATAAGCCTTGAGTAGATGCGCATCAAGTTTTAAAACTATTTATCTATTAAAAGAGTCAATTATTTAGTAGTATCAAACTAAAGCATTTTGCAAAAAAAAAAAAAAATTACTATCAAACTTTGGTTAAAAGCAAAATAAATATTTACTTTAGAAAATGATTTAAGACGAATTAACCAATCATATATAATGTAGCATGGTAAAATATTATTGATTAGCCTATTTTTAATAAAGTTTAAGTTATCTTTAAAATAACAAAAGTCTTATATTTTTGAGTTAGTTTTAAATTTAATAAATTGGTACGGTTACCAATATCATCATCATCATCATCGCTATAACTTCACCCCCATAATCATATCAACATCATCATTATTATTACTACTAGGTAAGGATAGTACAGAAACTCATTTTATAAAAATAAATATACCATACTATAGAATTTCTATTTTTATAAAAATACTATTTATTTTTTTCAACGAAGACCTTATAACATGTGTACAATGTAGATTAAATGTGTCTATATTCATTTAAAGATGCTACTAAAATTTTATATTGGTTTTAAAATTTTATATATATCTTATTATTATTTTGTAAGCTATTTGAAATTATAAATACAATTTAATACATTTAAAACTAATTAAAAGAAACAAACACATTTAAATCTAATAATTAATTAAACTAAAAATGTCAATTATAATGATGAATATGACATTCATAATTTATTTGAAGCCAAGTAAAAATATATGTATACTCAAAATATGATAAAATGGCAACGTTAAGAGTTCTTCTCCGCTAATATGTTCTTTTTGGTTAATTACACATGCATTTTTTTTCTCATTATTTGTATCCTTTATAAAATTATATTTTTCCTATATCAATGTTGGATGCAGTTATACAGCTATGAAATCTATATTTTCTATAGAAATTTGGACAACTTATAGATCAAAACTCTTCGATATTCATCATATATCAGTGCTGGATGCAATTATGCATAAATACAAAAAATTTCATATTTTTCTAATTTATCTTGAAATTTATGGGTTTAACCCCCTATGAAAAAATTAAATTTTTCCAATAAATGATTTTGTACTTAAGTTCATAGTGTTGTTTAAAATACCTAACTACATTAAAATTTATACTAATGTATCCTAAATTTGTTTTCATAGTATATGGACATAAATTATAATTTCCCAATGAGTAATGTTTTAAAACTTCATATACCATATAAATCAAAGAACTAAACCCAATGAAAATCTCAATATTTTAGAGAAACTTCCCAACAACAAAGGTGCCAGACATTCTTGATCTCCATCATATATTTCCCGTAATTGAAGTTTTAGCTCTTTCATGTTGACCAAAAAAGTACTTAACCACATTATACATTTATATTAGTGTATGTTAAATTTATTTTCAGGGTACAAGTGCATCGTTTCTACTATATTAATGAGTAATTTAATAAAACTTTATATTCCACCTAATTCAATGGACTAACCCCTATAAACTTTGTAATTTCTAGAGAAACAGAGATAATTATAGTGTCAGAAATCTTTATTTTTCATCAAATTTCATTGCATGATTTAGTAATGCATTAAAACGAAATACCATATTTTTAATTTATCTTATGAAAAAACATGTTTTTTTTCCAATAAATATTATATATACTAAAGTTTAGCCTCATTAATATATTTTTTAAATACCTAGACACACTCTAATACATATTAAAGTATGCTAAACATATTTTCACGGTGCAAGGGAAAATTTCTAATTTTACAATGAGTAATTTTTTTAAACTTCATATACGGCTTAATGGGTGGACTAACCTCTATAAAATCTTTATTTTATAGAGAAATAAGAATACGTGGGTTCACCCCTACGGAAAATCCCAGTTTTTTCCAATAAATGCTATTTCTACTTAAGTTTAGCTTCTTAGTGTTGTTTAAAATATCTAACCACATAAAAAATATACTAATGTATTATAAATTTATTTTCATGGTACATGAGCATCAGTTATAATTTTCCAACGAGTAATCTAATAAGACTCTATATACCACCAAATTCAATGAACTAAACCTTATAAAATCTCTATTTTCTAGAGAAAATTGGACAACTAAGGTATTAAAACTCTTTGGTAGTCTTCCTATATCAGTGTTGGAAATAGCTATGCATATATTAAAAAGTTAAATATTTTCTAATTTTTTTTTTAAATATGTGGGTTATCCTCTACGAAACAATCGAGTGTTTTTCAATAAATGTTATTTGTACTTAATTTTAACCCTTAGTGTTGTTTAAAATATCTAACCATATTAAAAATTTATACTAATGTATTCTATATTTACTTTTACGGAACATGAGCATCAGTTATAATTTTCAACCGATTTATTTGTTAAAACTCTATATACCACCAAAATCAATGAACTAAACCTTATAAAATCTCTATTTTCTAGATAAATTAATGTATCAAAACTCTTTGATACTCATCCTATATAAGTGTTGGATCCAGCTACGCATAAATAAAAAATTCCAAATTTTCTAATTTATTTTGAAATCTGTGGGTTAACCACTACGGAAAAACAGTTTTTACCGTTAAACGCTATTTGTACTGAAGTTTAGCTTCTTAGTGTTGTTTAAAATATCTAACCACATAAAACATTATACTAATGTATTCGATATTTATATTCATGGTACATGAGCATCAGTTATAATTTTCCAACAAGTAATTTAATAAAACTCTATATACCACCAAAATCAATTAACTAAACCCTATAAAATCTCTCTTTTCTAGGGAAATTTGGATAACTATGGTATCAAAAATCTTTGATAATCATCCTATATCAGTGTTGGATGTAGCTACGCATAAATAAAAAATTCCAAATTTTCTAATTTATTTTGAAATTTGTATAATCCCTATGAAAAATCCAGCTTTTCCCATAAATATTATTTGTACTTAATTTTAGCCCTTAGTGTTGTTTAAAATATCTAACCATATTAAAAATTTATACTAATGTATTCTATATTTATTTTTAAGGAACATGAGCATCAGCTATAATTTTCAACCGATTTATTTGATAAAACTCTATATACCACCAAAATCAATTAAATAAACCTTATAAAATCTCTATTTTCTAGATAAATTGGGACAAATAAAATATCAAAACTCTTTGATAGTCATCTTATATCTGTTTTGGATGCAGCTACGCATAAATAAAAAATTCCAAATTTTCTAATTTATTTTGAAATTTGTGGGTTAACCACTACGAAAAATCCAGTTTTTTCCGATAAATATTATTTGTACTTTAGTTTAGCCTCTTAGTGTTGTTTAATATATCTAACCAAATAAAATTATATTAATGTATTCGATATTTAATTTCATGGAACATGAGCATCAGTTAAAATTTTCCAATGATTTAGTTAATAAAACTCTATATACCACCAAACTCAATGAACTAAACCCTATAAAATCTCTCTTTTCTAGGAAAATTTTGATAACTAAGGTATCAAAACTCTTTGATAATCATCTATATCAGTGTTGGATGTAGCTACACATAAATAAAAAAATTCCAAATTTTCTAATTTATTTTGAAATTTGTGGGTTAACCCCTACGAAAAATCAAGTTTTTTCCGATAAATATTATTTGCACTTTAGCTTAGCCTCTTAGTGTTGTTTGAAATATCCAACCACATTAAAAATTTATACTAATGTATTCTAAATTTTATTTTATGGTACATGAGCATCAGTTATTATTTTCCAGTGAGTAGTTACCACCAAAATCAAGGAACTAAACCCTATAAAATCTATATTTTCTATATAAATTGGGGAAATAAGGTATCAAAACTCTTTGATAATCATCCTATATCAGTGTTGGATGTAGCTACGCATAAATAAAAAATTCCAAATTTTCTAATTTATTTTGACATATATGGGTTAACCCCTACGGAAAATCCAGCTTTTTCCGATAAATATTATTTGTACTTAATTTTAGCCCTTAGTGTTGTTAAAAATATCTAACCATTTTAAAAATTTATACTAATGATTCTATATTTATTTTTACGGAACATGAGCATCAGTTATAATTTTCAACCAATTTATTTGATAAAACTCTATATACCACAAATATCAATGAACTAAACCTTATAAAATCTCTATTTTCTAGATAAATTGGGACAAATAAGGTATCAAAACTCTTTGATAGTCATCTTATATCAGTTTTGGATGCAGATACGCATAAATAAAATATTCCAAATTTTCTAATTTATTTTGAAATTTGTGGGTTAACCACTACGAAAAATCCAGTTTTTTCCGATAAATATTATTTGTACTTTAGTTTAGCCTCTTAGTGTTGTTTAATATATCTAACCAAATTAAAAATTATATTAATATATTCGATATTTAATTTCATGGAACATGAGCATCAGTTATAATTTTCCAATGATTTAGTTAATAAAACTTTATATACCACCAAACTCAATGAACTAAACCTTATAAAATCTCTCTTTTCTAGAGAAATTTGGATAACTAGGGTATCAAAACTCTTTGATAATCATCCTATATCAGTGTTGGATGTAGCTACGAATAAATAAAAAATTCCAAATTTTCTAATTTATTTTGAAATCTGTTGGTTAACCACTACAAAAAATCGAGATTTTACCGTTAAATGCTATTTGTACTGAACTTTAGCTTCTTAGTGTTGTTTAAAATATCTAACCACGTAAAAAATTATACTAATGTATTCGATATTTATTTTCATGGTACATGAGCATCAGTTATAATTTTCCAACAAGTAATTTAATAAAACTCCATATACCACCAAAATCAATTAACTAAACTCTATAAAATCTCTCTTTTCTAAGGAAATTTGGATAACTATGGTATCAAAACTCTTTGATAAT